ATGAAAAAAAGTACTTCGACTCTGGAAATATAAAGGTTATAGGACTAAATACTAGGATATGAAATCGTTTGTGTCGGTCAGACATGCTCTATCATCAGGTACTGTGTTTCCATAACTCTACATATGAGTCGACGTAACCATGACATATTCAAAAAGCATAATATGTTACCAATGTTATCTCTGATATAGATAAAAACAAAAGAATGAAAACAGCATTATGCTCTCTGTTTTGGCAGTTTTCTTTTTGAATACTGTAACTATTGGTTTAAAATTTTAGCTGATAGTTTGAAAATTCAGTACGATTTTGAAGCATTTATTTTTGGAGACGAAAACAAAAAAAAGGATATTGTTTTGTTTGTCATTCTATTTAAAGCATAAGTTAGTTCAATGGTTCTTTTATTTCTTAGAAAACTAATATTTCGAATAAATGAATTTGATGAAAAGAGCATGTAAGAAAGTTTCAAGTATTTCATGCTACTTCATATTTAGAGTAAAGTTTTTCTTTTATACTGGTAGACAAAAATTATGCTGACAGATTAACACGAGCATTGTATTGATTGTTTAAGTAAAACTTTTTTTTTTATATCTTCATAAATTTCAATGGAGGAAGTTCATGTTGCTTGTTCGGGTTATCCTTCAGCTGCTGTTTCGAACTAATAGTCGAAGATGATTCTTATTGGACATACAAATTAAGGAAAAACATTCTGAACATAATTTCATCAGTCATTTATTTCAATGACTCTTATTTATCTGAAGTAATGCTCGATAAATTCATTATTAGCTTATCGACAACTAAAAGTAATTTTTGTCATTTAGTGAAGAGATTTGAATAGGCCAATATCAAATTTGTATTCGATATTATTACTAGTGATTGATCATAGTTATATTACTAGAATAGAGAATAAGAAATGCAGTGGAAAGTTCGATAATTACAAAACAATCCACAAGTAATCAAAGCTTATCGAAAGAAAAGCTAAGACAAGTATCTTTCGCCAATTCTTCGATAAAAAAGGAGGCTAACGAAGTCCATGTCATTGAGACCCAGTAAATAAAAATTAGCTTGTCAATGTTTATCTCACATACGTTCTCAAATTTTATCGCAAGAGAAACAAAAACAATCGCTCTTTAAGATCTCAATTTTCATTATAGAAATGTAAAACTCTATACTTTCTGGATTCTCAAGAGACTTCATGTCAAAACTCATATTGAAGTATATGTTAATCCATCATATTCTGTAGATCTCTATATCCACGCGATTCCTTTCTACCGATAAAACTAAGGGTGTGGGTGTGGGAGTGGGTGGGTGGTGTAGGTGTGGTTGTGTGAATATGAAGAGAAGGCCCATACGCACTAGCATCCACACCCACACCCACCCACACCCTAGTTTTTCTCATTGTAAAAACTTGTCAATTGTTTTTATTAGCAAAATAACCAGATCTTCGAAAGAAATTGTTGATGATGGATTGATTAATTTAAATGTTTTTCTTTTTTCAAATATACAGGGTATGCCAAAAGTCAATTTACCGAGAAAAATTTAGTGTCTTCATTATAGCTCGACCAATGGAGCTCAGTTTTTTTTTATCAAGAATAGAGGCATGTTCATATTTCTAGTTCATATGGATAAGGTGTGTGAGAACCTTTGTTAAGTATCACTATTGACCTCAAGAAGAAAATGTTACTTTGTCACAGATCGGAAAAAAAACAATACAATTAACAAAGGTTCTCATTAATCTTGTCCGTATGGATTTGGAGTATGAACATGCCTGTATCCTTGATAAAAAAAATCAGCTCGTTTGCTCGAACCATAATAGAGATATTCAATTTTTGTTTTTCATAAATTAACTGTAGCACCAATCCTGTGTACTGATGTTTTTTTCTACCTGTAAAAAGGCAAAATTTTCTTATGCAGGTCAATAGTGATACTTAACAAAGGTTCTCACTGGCCTTGGCTATATGGATTTGGAATGCGAATATGACTCTATTCCTGATAGAAAAATGAGATCGCTTTATCTAGCCGTAATGGAAATACTCAATTTTTCCTCGGTAAAGTGTCTTTTGACCCACCCTATGTTTGAAAAATTTTAATTCAAGTAGCATCGTTTGCATCTTATATAGTTTTCATCAAAAAGAATCAGATTAATTCCTCATAGAAGTTTTTGAAATCGATTTTATAATCCTTAAAATGTTCTTAATACTTTTCCAATGAAAATCGTGAGTTTAGGACAGTTGCTTGCCAGACACTTACTCTCTAGGACAGTTGTTCGTCGGACAAATTGCTCTCTGATTACTTCCTCGCAAAACTACTGCGATGGGAATGTATGAATAAGTCACGAAAATAACATTTAAGAAGAGCAACGAAGAATAAAAAGTTGATCACAACTGAAAAATTCTTATATGGGCAACAGACTCTGATGTATTTTAATTAATCCTTGAACTGTCTATGTCAATCTTGCACCAGATCATATAGCCGTTCGGTCAAAACTCGTTTAATTCGCTTTAATGGTTAGCAATCTGCTATAAATGTAAAGATAACGATGAACGACTGAAGGTCTTCTCTTCAACCTACTCCAGTCATTCATTCCGTTCTAGTGAGAGCCTTTCCTGACGTAGGATTTTGAAACTCAACAATTTCTCCTCTAGGCAGGATAGTTTACACATCTCTTCTGTATTATCGATTCAAAATGTGTGTGTCATACATAGGACTATGACAGTTCGGAAATCGTTCCGAACTGGTGAACTGTTCGAACAGTTCCTCCGAACTGAACTGAACTTTTCGAACAGTTCATCCGTTCGTTTCAGCCCAGTTCGTGAGCTGGAGCTGTCGTAGTCCTAGTCATACACTATATGAACAAAACACACGCCAAATCGAAACAGCTAATCGGTATGATCAATAAAGTTGATATGCATGGTAGCGAACTTATCAGGTTTCAATACAGAAATCACAAGATATAACGTGAAAACCGCTACAATTAACATAAGATCGCTTTTCTTACAATTGCAGCTATTTGTTCTTAAAATAGACGAAATTTTGAGCAATCAATTTTTAACTGTACAAAGATAAATCATAGAGAATTTTCCTTTTTTTTTTGAAAATAATCGCATTAAGTTTTAGTGTGTAAATTGTAGAGCTTTTCACGCTTCATCTAGTGTTATATTTTGTTTTGATTTTTTAAACAAAAAATATCAAGTGACAAAAACATGAATAAAGAACAAACGAATCCATCTTGTACAAAAACAAATATCGTTTTTCGCACTGTCGAAACTTGATAGTTCAATTGATTTTGAAAATAAAAAGTGCAACTTTAAAAAAAAAGCAGTTCTATGTAAATTCGACAACTTTTCAAGCTGCATCTTTTGTCGTATTTCAGTTGTTTGAATGAAATATATTCAATGATAATAAGATGAAACAAGAAAAAACAAACTCATCTTGTACCAAAGAAAAATATTGCTTTCGCAAGCTTAAAATTTGATTGTCTGAAATTTTGTCTGTTTTGAAAACAACAAGTACAACGATAAAATAAGCTTTTCTATGTAGATTGTAGAGCTTTTCATGCTGTATCTTGTGGTGTATTTTGTTTTATTTAATACAACGTATTAAATGATGATAAAATAAAATGCAAAAGTACCCTTTTCTTGAATGTCACACCTATTATGATCCAAATGCTACCAGCTAGTTTGCAACAAAAAATAGTTCTTATCGAAATTTTATTATTAGAATATTAGTTGTTGCATGATCAAATAGCATAGAAAAATAGATCATTCTTTTCTCTATCAGACTATATAGAGAGAAAGTTTTCTCAAGGCTTCTATACAAAATTAAGATCTGGGGGTAACTAACTACTTTTGGTATACTCTAAGTATATATTGAATCAAGTTCTTGTTGAGGTCAAAGTCAAAACAACAAAGTTTTGAAAATTGTTTCAAATAGTTTGAGGACAGTAATGCTTAGTTTCAAAATGGAAGTTGATAATTCGCTCATAAGTGATAGAAATCTTGATCACAAGTTTCAAGGTATATCTTGGACTTATAAAATATCTTTATATTACTTAGCACGTCAATTTATCAATAGTTCACTCATTTGAACTTATCTTTTTATGATAGATACATCAATTTGATATACATGCACTGTAAAAATTTCAAGTAAACCCGATGTTGTTTTTGTGAAATATGAATCTCACAAAAAAATCACCAAAAGTGTTTTTTTTTGGCAATAGTACTCTTCAATAAATTTTCAATATCTCAAGAATGGAACAATATTTTTTCAAATGGCTTGCGTCAAAATTCATAAAACTCTGTTCTACTTTAAATATCTCTCGAAAGAGCAGACAAAAATAAAACAACAAGTTAACAGATATATGCGATACAACTAATTCATCCTTTAATCATTTAATCTAAGCGTAGACATTGTTATATTATAAACAATATGACAGTTATCCTTTGTACAAAGATAGATCTATTTTTAGATCTATCTATTAGGCAGTTTTCTACATTTGGTAGATTCAATAAGTTCATGAAGAAATCAAAACTAAAAATAAGATGTATTTCGAAATTATTTTCACTTGTACGATATCTCGAAACGATAAATTATTAGTTTTTTTTAGGAATATTGATAATCTTTGTATTATATTTACTTTAAAATCTTGTAATTAAAACACACCTACGAATAAAAAAAAATGATCTTTCTTTCTATTATTATGCTTTACTTAGCTAACAAAGACCATGGATACGTCATGTAACTAATTTAGCTTGAAATATTTATAAAACAAAAGCCATACAATAGATTTCTATTTATAGAAAATTAATTTTTTTTTTTATTATCAATGAGAAAAGATTTTACTTGAAGAAAAAGATTGAATATTGTTTTCTTTTGCTTATCATAGCGATGTCTACCGTCAACATAAACATATTTTATTATTAAAATATTTTACACAAAATAAATAAATTTATAAAATGGACGAACAAAGATTAATTGTTTTGATTATATTGCATAGATTAAAATTTTATTGTTTGCTAAATCTGTTCATTTTGATAATCGTCTTTGAATTTGTTGCTTCAGGTAAAGTATTAGTTGTATGTCGTCTTGATTCTAAATAAGGAGTACGAGGCATAGATATATTCTCATCTGATTCATTAAATGGTCTGGAATCATCAAGATTATGAAGAAATCGACGATTTTCCTTTGTCATTGGACTACCATCTATAGGTGATATTCTCTTTTCTGATTTCTAATATATCAAAAAAAGAAAAACAAAAATACATCGTTAGAATTACAATTTTATTTAGTTTTACTCTTATTTTTGAATTTGGTACATTGGAAGCAGTTGATTGACATACTTGTGAAGTATTATTTATTTGATTACATTCAGTATTTAATGCCTTTTCTTTTGCTTGTATTCTTTGAACATCATCAGTAACATCACCTGAACGTATATAATCATAAATATGATCAAGATCACGATAATTTTCATCTTCGGAATCATATTCTTGTTGTCGTGAATATTTTCTTGGTTTATCTGTTTTTATTTTAGCATAATGACCAGAACGTCTTGTAGGTTGTTGTCGTTGATTATTATCAATCACATTATTTGATAATTTTTGTTTAATTTTTTCAAAACTATCACGATGATATAATTGTTCATGTTGATTTAAAGTTATATTATTATTTCCTACATTGGATTCATCATCATGATTAAATGCTTCACATGATCGTCGATGTTTTCTTTTTATTAAATCCGATGCATAATATTCCAGATGAGTTTCTGATTGTGAACGTTTTTTAAATAATGGATGTTTACGTTTTGATATATGTTTTGTTGTTGTATTTAATACAAGTGGAAAATGTATATAGGAAAATTCAGTTTTATATTGATTTATAATATGAGTACATGTTTGAATTAAATTATGAAAATATTTATTTTTAAATATTTCTCTCATATTTAAACAACGTTGAATTTCAATATCACTATTTATTGGTATTGGAATAACAATTATTTGAGATTTAAATGATGATGGTATTACTAATGGACAAACAAATATAACATTTTCTGTATACGGTAATAATAAACGAAATTTTGTTAATGATAAAGAAGAAGATTCATGTTGATTGATACTTGCTGGTGAATAAAAATTATCAAATTTTATTGAATTATTAAGTAAATTAACAGATATTGGAAAACGAAAGTTTGATAATAATTCTTGTAATTGAAAAACTCCTGATATATCCATGTTTTCTGATTCTGTCATTGATTTTGAACGATAATTTTGTGAATTAAGTGGACTAAAAAGACCAGTTTCATGAGTTAATATATAAACAATATCACCTTGTTCTGTTTGACATTTTAAATAAGGTTCAGATTTTTTTGATATATCATAAATATTTTTTGTTGAATTTGTTATTTGATTCTTATGCGAATGTTCTGGTTGAGTTTTTCTTCTTAGAAAAAAAAATCGAGATTTATTTCGTAGCCATGATGTTGATGAATGTGATTCGAATTGTTCAGTTTTTAATTCTTTATCACATGTTTGACTACGATATGCAAAACATTGACTTATTATTGTTATTATTTGACCAGATTGAAGAATTATTCTTTCATCATTTAGAATAAGAAGACTTCTATGAGCATCTAAATCGGATAATGATCCATAACAAGAATCAGCACTACCAGAAAGTTTTCTTTCATTTGGAATATATCGTTTTGTATATGCTATACATGTACTACGAAGATAAAATGCTTGTGGCCAATTTTCAGTATATATTTGTTGATTATTATCATCATTTTTATATTCCTTTATAATTAAATTTGATAATTTATGAAATGGTTCAATAGCTTGATCATTTTCATTAAGTAATTCAAAAAAACCATGATAATTTATTGGTATACGACAAAATGGAATTGATAATGAACGTTTTTGATTTAAATTTCGAATAATAATACGCATATTTTCATATTCATCATCACTATTATCATCACTTAAATTTGTTTTTGTTAATGTTACAAGTGATGTTGATAATTTTTTCATTGTACGAAATTTAGTAGTTGTTTTAGAAATTATTTTTTCTTGAGTCGATGTTAATCGATGTCTAGTTGAATGATATTTTCCATCGTTCGAACGATGATATTCAGCTAAAATTGATTCAAATTGATATCTATCTAATAATAATAATGGAGTATTTTTTGATAGAAGATTTTTTATTGAATGTCCATGAATATTTAATGACGTTAGTCTAACAATAATTGGTAAACTATATTCATTATTACATTTATTATCAAGAAATTCTTGTAATGTATATGATTGTTCATCAGATGACGGAAAATAATAATTTTGATTACCTAAGAGATAATGCATAATTCTTAGTTTTTTTTATAATCTAAAAATTTAGAAACTTGAATAATAACATGAATCAATAGATGTATTGTTTTGTCTACAAATAGAATTTGCTATTGTTCTTTCTTTTTTTTTTGTCGTTGCCGTTGTCGTTGTCAAACAACGAAATTAGATGCGGTGTGCATATGAATGTTGTTTTATTCTTTTATGTGTACACCTACGAAATTGCAGTTCCTTTTTTTTTTCAATATTTTTTGCTACAGAGAGGAGAAGAACTGATGTATATATATATACACGTATACATATATATGCAAAAAAAGAGAAGAGAGAAAAAAAAAATTAATGAGACTTTTGCATACTGTTTCATACTTGTTCGTGAAGAAAAAGACATAAGTATTATGAGAACACATACACTATACATTTCTTCCTTCTGCGTTTCATGTACGCATATATTAAAAGGTTGTTGAAAACTACCTGCTCTTAATTAAGGCCGAGAGAACAGAATAGCAAAAGAAGACGCATAAAAATCAAACAAATGTCTTATTATTTCATCATTCAAATTTATTGAAAAAAAAAAAGTTTTTTTCTTTATTTAAAAGTTTTTTCATATCAGTTCTTTTTCACATAGGTAAATAAACTTTCAAAGTTACATAAAATGTTTCAACTATCAACAAGACTCTCATGTCTCATCTCAATTAGGTTTTTTTCCGAAGGGTAGGTGATCAAAATAAACTCATAAGAAATGAAATAAAACAACAATAATAACAAAAAAAAAAAAAAAAAAAGAAAACTTCGAAATTATTTTATAAATATGATTTATTATGAGAAATAAAATTTTTCTGTTTGAGTTTTTCTTTTACATGAACAACAAAAAAAAGCGTATTCAATTTTTATGCATTTAAAAATATCAACAAAATCAAATAAAACATCAATTAAAGTTTTATGTTTGATATGTTACGTTAATCGATGGTAATGTAAAATGAATATTATCGCCTTTTTTTTCATATAATTCAATAAAAATTCTATAGTCTAATTCACATTCAATTTGTTGTGTTGTACCAACAGTTTGATTTGAAAATGATGCTTGTAATGGTGAACATGGTAATTGTAAACGAGCTTCACCAAACCATTCTTGTTGTGGTGACATTGTTGAAGTATCAAATGTCCATTCTTTACCATCTAATTCTGAACGATATTCATCATGATGTATACGATAAAATTGCATAAGTGTAACTGTTATTGAACGAATTGAACGTTGTTTAGGATTTAAATAATTTATTCGAACAAGTACTTGTTCACTAGGTCGATAAAATCTTTTTGATAAACTAGCTTGTAAACAAATATCATGTTGATTAATAGTACCACTATTCAATTCAATATGAGTTGTTGAATACGGTAGACAACCTTTTGAATTAATTATAATTGGTATTTGATAACGATAACTACTTGATGACAAATTTAATTCTAGTGTATAGATAACTGATGGTGAACAATTATTATTTAATGATGGCGGAAGTCCATGTGGTATTTGTAATTTAAATGTTCCTTTAATTATTGCTGGTACTGTTGATGATGCATCTTGTGTATCCGATGTTGAAAACTTTGTATTTATTGTTTGATCAAATGATGGTTCAATTTGATTACCATTTTGTACAAATAATTTTTCAATATCTTGGTTTATTGTTAAAAAACAACGTTGTCGACAAACGTTAACTTTATGTGTTGCATGCCCATCACTATCTGCAGCTGAATCAACTTCAGCTGAATATATTGCATCACCAACAAGTTCTATAATAATATCGTCACCTAATGACTTCTGACGAAGGAATTCTATTAATTTTCGATTATTTTTACTATGTATATGCTGTTGTATGTATGAAATAGGAATTTCCACTGTACCAGTTAAATATTCACCTGTAAAATAAATTCCATCAGGTTTATCTGTACTTATCTGAATTTGTTTTGATGCTAAATCTTGTCCACTTGTTGGCCACCGAGATAGAAATGTTGAAGTATTATTATTACTGGCTATATTACCCATGAATTCGAGAATAATGATCTTCTTAGAAGCTTTTTTTGTTCGATTAGATCTTTCGACTGGTTTCTTTTGTCGTCTTTAGTATTAGAAATAATATGTATTTATTTTCTATTACTTGTCGTCAACAAGCTAAATATGAAGGTTATGTGGCAGAGATAAAAAGAAATAGCTACGAGTTACAATCATAAGTGTTTTTAGATACATTTTTTTTTTCTCTCGATCTCTCATTTGCTTTTTTTTCTGGTCTTGTCGTATCATATGCTTGATTCGACATTATACTCTATATTGTATCTAGGGATTTTATGAGAAAGAGAGAAAGAACGAGTTAGATGAAGGAACGAAGACAGGAAGAATATGATAAAAACAAGAAAAGAATCTCTTATAGTTTCCTTGTTTTTTTTTTCTTCTCGACTTCTATAACAATATTAGCAGTATTGGTTGTAATAAGTTTACTTAACAAAATATAATACATGAATCTCGGATGGCTTTTTTTATCACATATTATTGAGTCTAATTGATTGTATTTGGATACAAAGATGTATCTATAAGTTTAGAAAGGAGAAAAAAAAACAATCTATTTTTTTTTGTTTTCTACTAAATTACATTTTGAATACTGTTGAAGATCATTCAATTATTCACTAATTTTCATCAAAGAAGAATAACAATAGTACATTTTAGCACTTTGTTCGATGATTGTTATTCTATTCTTGTCGACTGTTTAATGTTTGTTGTCAATCATCATGTAATAAACATCTAAGTCTAATCATTGATGTTAAATGACAACATTGGATTTACTTATGATTGGTTCGTGCATATAGTGTTCAACAAGGCCCAACAGAGGCTTTAACTAATATAAGCATATAAAAGTAATAAAGAAATAAATAGATCACGATAGGATCACTCTTTTCCTTCTTTCCGTTTTTGGTCTTGCATGATGTTCTCATTTTATTTTTATTCGGCAGAGTATCTACTATTAAACTATTTCTACTGACATACATTTATATACATGCGCTCTTTGTTTTTACACAACACATCTGCGTTTAAGTCTTATTATCATGTCTAACATATACAAATATCATTCGTTGTCAGTAAATGTTAATGATGTTATTCATGTATGTAAAACAATAATGAATAATTTACTTTGTAGTAATAATCGCGAAATAATTGATGTCGAATATTAGTTTTCAAGATCGATATCATTTAGTAATTTCAAAGAAATATAAACTAAAGTAGAATTTTATTATTCTAGATAATGTTTATTGAAACTGTTAGAAGAAAACCATATGCTACTTGATAATGTACTATCAATACATTTATAAGCGTTATTTCATAATAAATAGATTATTCAAAAAATTCAAAATAATTTTTCTACTTGGAAATATCATTTTGATAATATTGATATTTTTCTATTGATCTATAATTGATATAGTACATTAGTATTGCTTGGCATTAATATGTCTATTGTATCAATCATTGCTTTTGTTGTTGTTGTTGCTAATATTTTTTTGATAAAGAAAAAGATAAGATAAGACGATGATTTATTAATATTTAAAAATATTATCGTGGACTGAATTTGTTGGAATAGAATAAAACAAAAAAATCAAGTCTAACAACGAAACGTTTTCAACTGAACAATCAATTTCTCATCAAAAGCAACTGGATTATGAATTATCAGTCAAGCTGTTTCTGAATATGATCATAAGAAATTCCATCATATATTTATAAGCTAGTTTTCCTGAAAACCATATCCCCAGGCTAACAAAGTTTTTATCAAAGTTGTCTTTGATTTACTCACACTATGAAACATATTGTGTGTTGTTTAGAAGACAATATTTTCTTCTGTTTTACAAAAAAAGAATTTTTGAATAAAATAATATCATGAAGATTTTCACAGTGAAGTATTGACATGTATTCATTGTATGTAATATTTTCTGTAAAAAAAACGACTTGAAACAGAAAAAGTTAGTGTTTTCTACGCAATTCGATATGCTCTATAATCTGGACACATAAACAAACATTGTTAGCGAAAATTTTGTTAACCTAGAAGATAAGCATATAAAGACCTAAAGAAAGTTCACATGGTCATATTCGAAGCTAACATGATCGATGACCCATAATCTGCTAGATTTCAGTTGGAAAATCATCATTGAGATGGGAATGTTTCCTCGTGAGAGATACTGCAAGAAAAAAACACTTGCCATTATTTTAGAATCATATGTAAAAGCATTGCAACATACATCTCTCTTTTTACTCTATGTCACAAAGAATGACATGCGTCAATAAAGAGAAATTTATTGTTTTTAAGTCTTGATAATAATAATAATACACAAAGGTTGACACTAATGCTATTTAGAAACGACGTTTACATGTAGTTCATGACTCATTGTCAAAATATTATAAAAAATGAATAATATATGTAGAAAACTAAAACGGCGGGTTCTAATATACTATCGAATAGTTTTTATTTTTTTAATAATTATTTATAAAAAGAAAAACGAAATGATATCTGCTAATTTAAACGAATCACTTCAAGTAATGCTGAAAACCAATGCTGAATTTCTTGTTCAAAGAGGAAAAGGTATATTAGCTGCTGATGAAAGTCCATCATCAATTGTAAAACGATTTAATTCAATTGATGTTGAGAATACTGCTGAACAACGTCGTATTTATCGGCAATTACTTTTTACAACACCTGATATTCAACGATATATTAGTGGAATTATTATGCACGAAGAAACATTTAATCAAAGTAATGATAGTTCTATTTCATTTCCAATGATGCTTACTCAAATTGATATTCTACCGGGTATTAAACTCGATCGAGTAATCTATATAGAAGATTTTATCATTAATGAAATAATAAGAAAATTTATATTAATAAGGGTCTAGAATCATTAACAATAAATACAAATGAAACAACAACATTAGGTTTTGATGATTTAGAAAAACGATGTGAAGATTTGTAAGAAACGTTTATCTGTTCAAAATGAAAATAATCGTTCGTAATATTATTAAGTTTTAATCGTGGTGCACGATTTGCTAAATGGCGTTGTGTATTTCGTATTAATAAATTAAAAAATCAACCAACAGAAGTAGCTATTTTAAATAATGCTATAGTTTTAGCTCGATATGCATCGATTTGTCAAGCTAAAGGTTTATAAATCTTTCGAATATTAAATAATTTTCTTAATTATTTTGTTTTTGTTTTATATTTGTAGGTTTAGTACCTATTGTTGAGCCTGAAGTTATACCTGATGGTGATCATAATATAAATGTTTGTCAATATGTAACAGAAAAAGTTCTTGCTGCTACATTTAAAGCTTTGTCTGATTATGATATTTACTTAGAAGGTTGTTTACTCAAACCGGTAAGTAAAATTTTTTTTGGTTACTCATTAATTTAAATGAAAATGATTTTTTTTTTCGCTTTACAGAACATGATTACACCAGGACAAGAAACAAAAAAGAAAGTAAAATCAACAGATATTGGTAAAAAGAAAAGAAATGAAACAATCATTTTTTATTCTTTCTATTTATTTATTCTTTGAGCACTTGCTACAATAACAGCATTGAGTCGAACATGTCCACCAGCTTTAGCTGGCATTGTATGTTAATATAGAGAAATTAATTATAATAGAATTCTTCGAATAGGTTTTTCTTAGCGGTGGTCAATCTGAAGAAGATGCAACAATTAATTTGAATGAACTTAATAAAACATTCTATCAATCAAAACGTCCTTGGCCATTAACATTTAGTTATGGACGAGCATTACAAGCATCGGGTTAGTTCTTTTTTATTTTGTCTTTAGTTTTTTTCTTTGAATAATATTTTTTTTCTTGTTATTTAGCTTTAAAGGCATGGAGTGGAAAACGAGAAAATGAATTAAATGCACAACAGAGTTTTCTTAAACGAACTATGGCTAATGCAGCTGCGTCAAAAGGTGAATATGATGGAAAAAATACAAATAATGAAGCTAAAAAAAATCTTCATGTAGCTGGACATAATTATTAATCAGAAAAAAAATTATGGTTTCATAGACTTATATTTGTTTATTGTTGATTAAAATTTTTTTTACATCTTCTGATACCTAAGATATTTTGTTTCTCATGATTTGTTGATGATTCATTTTTATTTGACTACAAAAATTAGTAAACAAAAATTTTAATGAACTTTTTTTTCAATGTTAATATATTTTATCATTGGTTTCTTTGATTAAAAATTTAAGAAATATTACTTCAATTTGTTTAGACAAGTGAATATAGAAATAGAATGATATCTAAACTTTGATTTCATTGTTCAATGTAGTTGTAAACATTCTTTAAAGTGACTAATACAAGCGAACTAGCAGAGACATAATTACATAAAGGGTGTTTCATAAGTATCGACCATATTTTTCCACGGAGGTAGCACTTTAATTTTAAATAGTTTGTAATGGAAATCGATGTCGAAAATGTCAAAGTGTCATAAGGGAATCAATCGGATCGTTATATACAACAATAAAAATATAATTATCAGAGCTCCGTGTAGGATGGGACAATCCTATTCTTTCTCATGCAAGGTTTTGAAAATATTCCATCCCATGGGACTAACGTTTTTTTACAACAATCGTTTCAAAATAGATGTCTTTCGTACCGAAATGTGAACTTCATTATAATAAAATTATGAAATACAAAATGAAATGATGTAAAATTTGGTAGTATTAATGGAAACGATGGATGTGTCCAAAAATGATTTTTCGATATACGACGAGTGTGAAGCCCCATGAAATATGGGCGGAATGGGACGGAAAATTTGTCGTCTTATCTCATTCTACAGGAAACCTTGATAATTATATTATTACTTTAACATATAACAATCAGATTGATTCACTGATAACACTTTGACATTTCCAACACCGATTTTCATTTCTATGTCTTTCATTTTTAAAAATATTAATATAAAAGATTTAAAAAAAAACACAATAAAATTTTTTCAATATTTTATTAATGCAGCACTTTCTTGTAGTTGATGCAAATTAAATGTAATCTCTTTTGAATAATAGCTTAGACGTTACTCTTCAAAAATATATCGTCAATACCCATTCACCTATAAATACAGTACATTTTAAAAAAATGGGATCGATACTTATGAAACACTCTTTAAATGTATACGATTATAATTAACCAATTATGACAATGATCTTTTTCATAAATATAGAATTCTCTCATTTAACGACTTCCTGTATTCATGTTCTACCAATTATTTTACTCAAAAGTGATCAAGTAAAAATAATACGAAGAACAGAATTATGCTCATATGCTAACAAGTTATCAAAAAGTAATTAGAAAACTGTTTGTTCATTTTTCAATTTCTAACAGAAGTCTACCGAAACTGAAAAATATTGAATTTGTATCATAATTTTGTGTTCGTTCAGAATATGACTTCAAAATTGTTGTAGAACCGCTGGTTGGAGAGCTGTCAACTGATTTTTTCGACGTCAGTAAGTTGCATTGAGACGATCTTCAGCGCCTCAAAACTTAGCCAAACTAGAAATAAATATTATTTTAAACACATCGAGTGAAAGAACAAACATTTCTCTATAAAAATTGATTAGTTTGATTCAAGTCATTTGTCCATGATGAGTATTTTTCTAGGATACATCGTATTGAATCTAGATCATTTTCTCGATTTCTATAGACAACAGACTTACAAAGTGCACTCGACAGTTTCTGAATGATTGTTATATCATTTTCTAGATAACAATGTCATTTGTAATTATATTCAAAAAAAATTGGTAACATAACATATGCAGTAATGAACTACTATTGTTACACAAAAATAACAATTTTCTCCTTTGAAGCTTACTTTTCGAATCTCTTCTAAATGGTCAACTCACAACTCCTAAATCAAAAGTCGTAGAGAAATGTTGAAGCTATATTAGGAAAAAATATAAATTCTTGATTCTAATTCAATGTTTTCAAATTTCTGCAGGCTTCTTTAAGAAGTAGAAAAATTAAGGAACATTTTATCGAATAACTTTTCGATTATTTGTTATTGGACAACGATTCTCAAGCGAATATTTACCCTATGATAACAATAAGACCAATATTATTTGAATATTTCGTCTTACAAATTTCTCTTATAATCTTTCATCATATTTACAAAAGATCATGCAGCTTCTATGCTATTCAACTCTTACAATGAATAACACAAATAATCATTAGAAAATGATCCGTTATTCATCAGTGCAATAAAAATGAACAGATTAACTCCATTAGTAATTCGAAGATTTTATTTGAAAATTCTTGATGATATCTTTACAGACGAATCATTGCAATAGAAATGCAAGGCTCAGTCTTTTTTGGTTTTATTCATCACTCTCAGTTTGATACACATAGGCACACAGATACTCTGTGTCGACAAAAAAGAAAAATATTACAAAGCAAAACAGCGAAAAAGAAAACTTTATATTAAAGTTTTCGTCTATCAAGTGAAGCTGTTGGTGGTGGTGGAACACCACGTTGTTCAAGGTCTTCTAAATAATCCATTAAAATTTTTGAACGTTCTTCTGGTATGACATCTAATAATAAATAACGTTTGTCTTTTTGTAAAATTTTTTCAACATCACGTAAATGATTTTGTTCTTCTGATTCTCTGATCATTTGAAGTGATCTAAGAAGAAGAAAAAAGAAAAATTCATGAAAACTAAACTTTTGTTTTATTTTTCTTTAAATTACTTATATGTAATTAATTTTGTTTCTTTTAATAATTCTTTAAAGTCCGTTTTAGCTGTATGATATTTATCTTTCATATAAAGTTCAAATTCTTTTTCTAAATCACGTTTACGTTCATTAGAAAAAATTTTTTCAAAACGTGGATCTGATTTAATAATTTTTTTAACTTCTTTCCATATTGATGTTAATGTACAATGTTCACTTAATAAAGCATGAAATGCCAGTTTACGTTTTTTTTCTAATAAATTAACATGTTCTTCAAATAAACGTTCTTTTTCATCTCGATCAATGTCTTGTTCCCATCGAGGATCTTTTCTTAAAGCTTTTTTAGTTTCTTTCCATTCAGCATCAGCTGTTCGTACCATATCAGTTAATAAGGCTTTAAAATTTTCAATAGCTTTATCTTTTTTTAATCGTTCACGTTCTTTATCTAATTCACGTTGAAATCCAGATAATTGTTCTTTAACTTCTTCAGCACGTTTTTTTATACTAGCATCAATACGTTCTTGTTTTTCTTTTTCACGTTGTCGTTCTAATTCTTCTTCATTTGTCTAAAAAACAAAAACGCTATTCGTAGTCTAAAAAAAGAACAAATATTTTTATTTTCATACTTCATTCGAGGTAGTTATTGTTTCATCAATATGTTTTGCTTGATATTCACGAAACCAATCTTCACGTCTTGAACTTGATTCAATAGCTTTATAACGTGGATCATGTTCACCGGAATGTTTTATATCAGACCAAGAAGAATTTCGAGTAACTTTTAATTCTTTTAATAATGAGAAATAATCCTTTTTTAGCTAGAAACAAAAAAAAGGAATATAAAATTTTTAGATTTTTTTCATTTTGGTAATACTATCGATTGAATAGCAGATATCAAAGAAATTAATACAGATTTACTTTCTTAATTCATTGGATATACACGGAAATCAAAGGGAAAATTTAAATGAATGAAATTTCTATCTTAAATTGATGTTTGAATCAGATTTACAGAATCTACTCGTGTTTAGAATAGAGCCTTTTGGATTCAAAAATTTCGAACCTGGACCCAACTGAATCGTACTTGGATACTTTCAATAAGATGCATAAATTCTCTGGAGACAGGCAATATTAGAATATTTCGTCTGCTTGCGTTCCTAATACACATATCAAACTGTTCGCCACAAGCCGCGACAGAATCATCGAAAGCAATGCTGGTGTAGAGAAGGTTAACACCTACACCCTCAAAATAGTGACACTGATGTTGTATCATTAATTTCACTTAATATAATTCTTTCATTTGTATTCATCGTAACTGTACTGCTACATGAGTTACATTTGTAATGAAGTTTCAGATCTTTTTTGTAAAATAATAAGATACTTTACTTTTTTATTCAGACACTGAACTAATTACAGAATTGTAAAAGATCAAAAAGAATAGAAAACAAGGAAGGCTGTCTTTTATGTATCTCGAATTATATGATATTAAATAGTCGTCCTTCAGCTTCTCTAATAAAGATAATTGCCAGATATATGCGACAAAAGCTTAATTATACAGATAGAATATATCAAATGTTTACTACTGTGTATCAGTCTTACCAAACTAATTATCAGGGTAGAGAGATATCAGAAGCAATAACCTTTCATTGCATTTGCTAATTGTGTTTAGGGAAAGTAGTTGTGCACCCTATTGCGCAGACTGACAAAAGATATACATATACGTATCTATATCTCTAGACACTCATAGATGTCGTCAATATTTTGAATATATCTTCAGCATAAAACAAGGCTTTCGAAAGAATAATCATATATTGTAATAGTATTTGGAATCCTTTACAATTCCGCATATTTCAGTTTTGACTTGCATTGCTAAAAAATATTTTGACTACAATGAAGATACTCTCATCTTCAGATTTCTACAAATTGCTTTTTTTTACTTTGCTTAAAAAATATGTTGTGTATAATAATATCATTTTATTTAATTTACAGTATATAGATAACAATTCTGTTAGACTAATTCTCTCCTAGAATAATCTTTTAATTATTGGTATGAAATAATACGAAAATAGAATTCTTACTTTTTCTTTTTCACTATGACGACTAGAACCATCTTTTTCTCGTGTTTTTAATTCTTGTATGTAATCATGAAACCATGCTTCACGATCTCGTATTTTTTCTACAGCACGAAAACGTTCATCTTTACTATGACGTGATGAAAACTCATTAAATGTTGTTCTAAAAAAAAGTATTTCAATAAACAATGAATTTAATAAAAATTTGAAATAAATTTTACTTGATTGCAACATTCGATTCTTTTAATAAATCACGAAAATCTTTCTTTTTTAATTTAAGTTTAGCTTCTTTTTCTCTTCGTTCTTCATCAGCTCGTTCTAAAATTAAAAAAAAGTTTTTTTTTCTCTCTATAAGAAATATTCAAGAAAAAAAAATTGTAACCATGAGTATAACGATCAAATTCTTGTTTTCGTTCTTTAGCTGTTAATAATGAATAACGTGGATCATAAACAATTTTATTTTTTTCTTGTTCCCATGTCGCAAATGCACTAACCTATATGAAAATAAAATATAAAATAATAATAACAATAAAATCAATTCAATTATACTTGTTTTTCAGCAAGCATTTCACGAAATTGTTTAATACGTGTTTCATATGGAATTAATTCTCGTTGTTTAGCTGCTTTAGCTTCTGCTTCATAAGTAGATTCTTGTGTATTATTTAAACGTTCAGTGGTATTTTGTAGAATTTTTGTATCATTTTCATGATTTTCATTACCATTAAGAGTATTTGTAGTTAAAATTAAATCTGATCTGAATAGAAAACGAATGATTTATTAAGAATTAACTTTTATTATGTTAATTTTTACTTGATTTTTTTGGCTTCGGGTTCTATGTCATCGGGAGGTGAATCTAATTTTTGTTTTGTTGCTATGGTTCGATTAGTATTTGTTGAATCGTCTTGTGGCATTGCTGCACGAATCATTTCATCAACATCCATTCGACCTAAAATAAAGATAAAAATATGCTAAATAACAACTGACGAAGAATTAGCAGACTTCAACACCAAAGTTTCTGCTGTTGCTCCCATTAATAATAACTTTCTCTCGGGATTTAAATGAATTTCAGTCCAAGTTTATTTCATTAGTTTTCATAAAAAAAAACCTTATTACTATAAACAATTCGTACACTCCATAGTGCTCAGCAATATACATTTTTAATAAAACGTCGTGCTCAGTAATATGGCGTAGTTCATCGAGTATGATTACATACTTATACTAGCTTATCTTTGATATCATGAATTTCCGAGTAGTTTGTTCTGTAATCTAATCATTGTTTGAACAACTAATGACTCAACCTGAAGCATTGCAACTACGGAAATTCATTTAGTACTCTTCATCCGCTGACACACAATGTCGTCTCTGGAAATAAAAATTTGCTAATAAAAGCACTATAATTATAGTTTGAGTGAATTCATACAGCTTAGCACTATACCCTGCTATTGCTTAAAATAGAAGTCCTTCAACTGACAAATCGTTTTTGACTCAATGCTATGTTTATTATGTAGATCCAAATGAGCTATGAATATTCTGAAACAAGTTCGTGCCGTTAGCTAATTGTTACGGAAATACCTGCCCCTTATGTTATATATATTTTACATAAATGACGTGCTCTACCTCACCCATACCAGAAAAGCTGATTTTCGAATTTATATTTGAAAATTTATACAGAGACAGGCTTTAATGAGAGCAGTTTATTGTAGAAGTTTCAGATCTTTTCATTGCTTCTATCCTAAGATACAACTATAGTAAAAGTATGTTTTTTTCACCTTGCTTATCTACAATGGCAAAGTTCGATGTTCTTGTTTCATAATAGGAGCAATCAAAAAATCTGAAACTTTCATAAGCTATCATCGTTAACGTTCAACTCTGTATCAAGTTTTAAGTTGAAACTCGAAAAGCCAATTTTTCTGATGTTGCTGAGTGAGACTACGACATACTGCAAATACAATATTTTGGCAGTGATAAGCTGTTAGCCAGCACTCTTTTCAGGATGTTCATAGTTTATTTGTACCTACATGATGTACATAGTCTCGACTCAAAAGCGATTTAACACTTAGAAACAAAGTAAACTTGAGTTTGGTTCAATCCGAAATTCTGCCCGCCTTTCTTGTATAATTAAATGTTTACCTTTTAGTTCTTCTGGTCTATCCCAGAGTGATGTACGCGATGTTGGATTGAAGAAAAACACTTGATTATCTGTTGTCCACACAATACACCTAGTGAAAAAAAAAACAGATGCATGATTGAAATTCTCAATTTTATGTCTAATTTACCATGGAGTGCCAGGTATCGGCTTTGTTGATATTGGCCTAGGTTTACCTTTTGTTTTATCATCGATTAAATTTCGATCCGATGTCAATGACACTTCGCCCTACGAAACAAAGATAAATAATTTATTCAAATAAATATATCTGATTAGATTAGAGAATAGAAGAAAAGGGACTTCATTTCAATCTTATTTTCAAAATGAAGTTCCATATAAAGCAACTATAGACAATTTATTTTTATTTTACATTTATTGGAGTCGAATTATGATCGTTTTACTGAATTTCGATGTAAAATTTAGTCTAGAGATAAATCTAATGATGCTTAGAAGATCCTGACAGTTCCAGTCGAAACGAATTTTTTTTGTTGAGATATTAAACTTTCAAATAAATTCAATTTTTTTATGATGTTTGTGGGAAGTGAATATTCTTTTTGATTAAAACCTTCAGGACATTCTACAAATGATTCAGTCTATCTATGAACTACACGTAGAAATTCTATTTTTTAATTTTTCGATAAATACCTAAACCTTGGTCGAAAATTCAATAAAACGATCAAAGTTCAGTTCTAAAAGTCCATGCACATTCGTTCGTTTAAATTTTTGCTAATCTCACCAAGACTTCCTTGTAGGCTCAATATAAGCTCATTATAAAAACATCCATGTACTAACTACCGTCGGTTCTTATGAGTACCGCGATAGTGTGAACAAATGTGCGACATCGGTATACATCTCATAAAAAAAAGAATATTCGTATTCATTTATTGAAATAACAGCTCAACAAAGTAATGATTTAATCCATGAAGTTACATCCGGTGTTTTATTTAGATTTTCTCTTCCGAAAAGGTAAACTCAATCTTTGGAAGGATGCTACCCACTAGTAGGATAAAACATTGGTAAATCTTTGTGTTTTTACAAATACTCACAAATCGTCTAATTTCATTATTATCTAATTTTTCTAAAGTAAAACCATTAATAAAAGCTGGTGTCGGAACAGCTTGTTGTTGTTGTTGTTGTTTATCATTAGCATTCGCCGCTGCTGCTGCTGCTGATAGTTGACTTTGTTCACTTTCAAGACGTTTAACTTCTTTTTCCGATTCATGAATTGTCTTATTTACATGTTCAAGTTGATTTTGTAGGTCTAAAAAGACAAAAAAAAAAACAATTAACTAAATGATCGATTTTTGATTGTTTTTGTTATCATATACCAATAACATCACTTAATACAAGAGGTTTATCCCATGTTGATTCAGTTGTTTTCGAATTATAATAATAAGGTCGTCCTTCAGGATTTTTAAATTCTGACCAAGCTGATGCTTCAGTATTGACCTTTTCCATTTTTTCCTCCAGTTCTTTTAATTGCGTACGTAACTAAAAAAGAATTAATTAAAAAAAAAAAGATTTTTTTTAAAGACAAAGAGTCAAACTTTTTTTAATTCTGTATGAAGTGTTTCTAAAGATTTTCCTGCAGTTAAAGTAGATGGATTTAAAAATGGTGGCATCATAAAACGTAGTAAATGTGCTGGTGGGGGAATTGAACCAAAACCAGGAAAAGCTAAAAATTCAAATAAAATAATGCAAAAATGAATTTATGCATGTTCTTATTTTGATTTACTATTTTGCATCATTTGAGCCATATGTGGCATTAAATGTGGCGGAAATGCACCAAATGGCATACCAAGTGAAGGTGGTGGATATGAATATGGATTATAATTTGTTGTTGAATTATCATTTGGTGATTGAATATCCTTTTTTATTGGTTCAGTTGTTTCATCGGTTATTTCCGTATTTATAGGTGTAGGTGTAGCAAGTTTTTTTGATGTTTCATTTTGATTAGCAAGTAATTGATCAAGTTCATTTTGTGACATGACACGTTGTCCTTCTGGTTTTGTCCATGTTGTTTGACGTGTTTTAGCATTGTAATAATAAATCTATAGAAAATTTTTCAATATTTTCTTGGTTTTATAAGAAAAAAAATGAACTAGACTTACACGACCATCAGGATTTTTATATTCAACCCATAATGTACTTAAATCAAGAGATGATGAATTTTCATTCATTTTCTTTTTTATTGTTGTCTAATAATCACATTAGAATATATGTAGTTTTCTTTTGTTGTTTTGTTCTTTCAGTCATTTTTTATTGGTGAAATTAAATGACCAATTATCAAATATAATGAATAAAATGTGGATTAATATAAAAAAAAACGAGAATTGTGCATTTATTTATGTTGCGTGATCAATCACCATTTATTCAATGCCTTTTAGGTATACTTTTGAACCAAATTTATTTAAAAAATAATGATTGTTATTATTTTTTTTCAGGCACTGGATTTACATGGTTTGTTACAGCAGCTGGTGCTGCTTTAGTATTTATATTTCATTCAGCAAACGTATGTTTAAATAAAAATGCTAAATTGTTTTGTTGTTTAATCATGCTTTTTCCTTTGTCTAGCAAAAATTACTTGATTATAGCCTTGGTTTTGGAGCTGGAGTACGTATATTCATTAATAAAGAAATGGGTTTAACTTTTTTTTTAAATTTCTTCTTAGGTTATGACAGCAGCATCATTTTGGAGTTTACTTGAACCAGCTTTTAAAATTTCTTATGAACAAAGTTATATAAATAGTCAATTAAATTTTGTATTAATTATAATTGGTTTTTTACTTGGTGCTTTATTTGTTTATATGGCTGATTTATTATTACCATCAATAACATCAAATCAATTATTTCAATTTGTATCAAATAAAAAGACTCCAGAATTAAAACTAAAAAATCATCAAGATAAGCTGTCAAATTTAAAAATACATTCCTCTGTACGTTCACGTTTAAAACGTAATGAAGATTTAACAAAACAAGCTCATCTACCTGTTGGTGACAGTCCAATTGAAGAAATTAAAGAAATTACTATAAAAACAGATGAACGAACAAAATGGCATAGACTACTTTTACTTATTATTGCTGTTACTGTACACAATTTCCCTGGTTAGAAAAAAAAGGATTAATGTATATATATAGTTTTAAAAAGTTTTCTTATAATTTTGCCAGAAGGTATGGCTGTTGGTGTTGCTTTTGGATCCATTTCGTCGGCGAACAATGCAACATTGGCATTTAATCATGCTAGGTAAACAATATGAATGTGATTTCTTTTGTTATGTCTTTTTTCTTTCTTTTAGAAATTTAGCAGTTGGTATTGGTATTCAAAATTTTCCTGAAGGTAAAATCATCAGAAAGAATAAATATATAAGGAAAAAAAAGAACAGAATGATTTGAATTGAAAGTCTAGATCAATTTTGAAAAGATCATTGAGACATAGTAAAATTATCTTTGATTTGCGGAACAAATTGATTTTTATTTCTAATCATGTAATCAAAGTTGACTTAATGTATATCAAGCTGTGATAGTCGGAAAAAAAAGAATCTCTATATTCAGGAGAGGAGAAGAAATCAGCGATGATTATAAAAAAATGCCTGAAACATTTGTCGCTCATTTTGTGTTGTTTTTGTTTGATTTTTGTTTTGCATTTCTCTTTTTCTTCTGTAAATATAAATATTTATTGTATTAACAAAGGCGTCAGATGAATTATGAAGTCAATGTATTATATTGGAAAAAATCATGACTTATTATCAATGCATATCGACTACAACATATTTATTATCGTTTGAATTCTTTCTGCACACACTAGAATGTATCAAGTCTATCTATTTTTATATAATTTATCTCATTTCTTGACTGGATTTTTTCTGCTTATCATAGAAACGAGGATATTCTTCACCCTAATTGATGAAGAATAGAAAATAATTAGCGGATATTTACATATGAAGGAACAGTCACAGAAGAGAAAGCAAAGATTAATAATAAAACCTGCTTTTTTTTATGAATGACATTGTCAATCTAGTACCTCAAGTCATTGAATAGATTAAAGTATGCTTTCAATATGAAACATAATTGAATGCGAATGAATTCCTGCAGCTGACTTATTGTTCTTGTAACATGTGAAATTATGTTATAAGAAGTGTATTCAGGAAAAAAAGATGTCATGTAAGCATTTTTTTTTTCATGTCATTTGACGGAGATAGATGAATATAGCGACTGTCAAATATATTATAATAACATCTAAAAGATCTTTTTATGACAGTCAATCCGCAAGAGAATTTTGAATTGTGCAACAAGAAATACGAATTCTTTTTATTTTATTTTATAGATTCTATTTCCTTTGTATAAAAGATCGAGATCGAGAGTTTTTTTTCTTTCTATTCACTACGGAAGTCACTGCTTCGTGTTATACATTACAATTTTCTGCTGACACCATTTATTCATTCATAGAAATTTCTTTTTTGACGATCAAACAGCAATGTTAAATAATTATTTTTAGGATTGGCAATCAGTTTACCCCTACGATCATTTGGTATAGGATGTTTTAAAGCATTTTGGTTTGTTTCGAATATCTTTGTGTATTAATATATAATCACATTTTTAATAGGTATGGTCAGTTAAGTGGCTTAGTTGAAATAGTAGCTGGACTTATTGGTGTTTGCTTTGTACAATTAGCTAATTGTCTACTTCCATTTGCACTTTCGTTTGCAGCTGGTGCAATGCTTTTTGTTGTTTTTAATGAAATTATACCAGAAATTAATCCGTAAGTTAGATTCTTATTTTTTTGCTTTAAAAATAATTGAAAATTGCTTTTTAAATATATAAGTCAAAATCGAACCATATCATCTTGGTGCGTCATAGGTATGTACATTAGTTAAGATATGAGAATTTCTAATATATTCTCAAATTTTGTCAGCTTCTATAAAGTGCTTTTCAAATGATTGAATATGATAATATATTTTAGAGTAGATAATATCTAATAGGAGTTATCAAGTTCGAAAAAATCGACATTTCCTGCTTATTTTATGTTAGTGGAAAAAGTAATCTTCACTAAGACTCCTACTTTCACAAATGCCTTGCGGGAAAATTTTGTTCATGAAAACTTCTTCACTCGATTCGCATTCATAAGATGACATATTTTTCTTTTAGAAAAAAAAACTGTGGTTCTCATGAAGTTAGAAACTCCAAGGTTTGTCTAACAGTGAAGCCCTATATATTATGCGAAGTAGATGTTTTGCGAAACATTATATTATATGCTTTAGCATGATTAGATTTCAATGAAAACTTACATGTACGTGTGACTATTTATTAGACACATTATCACTAACATATAAAACAGTTGAAAGCTGTATTGAAACAATATAAAAGAATTATTGAATATGGTAATTTTATTTTTTGAATGAAAACATAAAAATCAATGGAAATATTTAATATTCTACGATTAAAATATGTTCTTCTTTGTAAAATTTCAACAGATCATTTTCATATTAATATCATATATATATAGCGCACATCTATTACTTATATATATTTTTTGTGAAAAGAAAATGATTTGTTGAGCCTTTATAAAGAAGAACGATTTTTAATAGTAAAATTACCATAATCAATAATTCTTTTGTATTTCTTCAATAGACCTTCTAAATACTTTGTAATTTGCTGATAATATGCCTAATAGGTAGTCATATGTACATGCAAGTTTTCATTGAAATTTATTCATGCTAAAGCGTATAAATATAATGTTCAGCAAAACATCTACTTTACATGATATAATAGACTTCACTGTCAGATATGCCTTAAAGCTTCTAACTTCAGAAGAACGCTATTTTTTTCCTAAAAGAAAAAGATGTCATCTTGTGAAGGCGAATCGAGTGAACAAGTTTTCATGAACAGAATATTTCCCTGGGGCATTATGATAAGAGTTGAAGACTTAAGAAAGATTACTTTTTCCAAAGACATCAAACAAGCAGGAGATATCGTTTTTTTGTCTCGAACTTGATTACTCCCATTAGATATCTCCTCATTCAAAAGATATTTTCATATTCAATCATTTGTAAGTATTTTATAAAAGCGGATAAAGTTTGAAGCGAGCTCCTTCTCCTCTCTCTCTAAATAATTAATTAGTTTGTGAAAAAATAATTTTCTTTTAGGTGGATTTACGATAATGATGATATTAGATGTTCTATTTGGTTGAAGAAATATTTTTGTCTTTCATGTTTTCGCTCGTCTCATTTATATGAATCTCTTTTTTTTTTCTTTTGTGATTATTTTAATTTCCAATGCCTATTTTGTTTGGTGGAGTTTACGAGCAAATTTATGTTATGAAATATTTGTAATATGTATTCATTGATTTTATTTCCAAAATAATAATCATTAACAATATCAGTTTTTTTTCAATTATTAAAATATTATTATAACAACAACATACGAACATTTATGCAGATTTTGAGTAACTATCATTTTTTTTATTATAACACACTTGAAGAACGAGACTTGTCTCAAGAGTGAATTTGAAAGTTTTGAATTAAAATAGTTAGTCCAATGATGTCTTATATCTGTAAAAATGAGCTAGGACCATATGTTAACATCAATATTCGAAGAGTTGTTGTTCCAAAATACATCGACTAACATATGATTTATACACTTTAGAAAAATCTCAATTATTGAGACGACATTTGCAATAGATGAATTTTGTGTTTTTCAAAAATAATTGTTATTGATATTGTGTTAAAAAAGTTAAAACATTAAAACACAGTTGGAAAACAAATATAGATTTCCCTCTAATGACAAAGACTTAAACATTATTTCATTGCATTTTAATATTATTGAGTATAGATTTGTATATATCTTAGTGATAAATTAGTATATCAGATTTTGTTTTAGATATATTATATTTTAGCCTATAAAAAATGAGTATTACACATTGTATATTCGATTTGGATGGTTTATTATTAGATACAGAATCAATATATACTGAATGCTTACAAAAATTATGTGCACCATATGGAAAAAATTTCAGTACAGAAACAAAACTTCAAATGATGGGAAAATCATCATTGGAAGCAGGACAAATTTTAATGAGTATGCAATGAAAGTTTTATTTAATAATTAAATATATTTGCTTTTCCGTTATTGAAAAATTTCTTAGGAGAATCAAATTTACCAATGACTGATGAAGAGTTTTTAATTAAATCAAATCAATTATATCAAGAAGCATTTCCATCAGCTGAACTTTTACCCGGAGCAGAACGTCTTATTCGACATTTAGCGTCTTATAATATTCCAATGGGTAAAAAGAAAAAAAAAAGAGAAAAAATTTTTAAATGAAATTCTATTATAGCAATTGGTACCGGTTCTTCACATGAATTATTTATGTTAAAAACAAGTGGTCATCGTGAATTGTTCAATTTATTTGATCCAGTTATTTGTACAGATGCAACTGAAATACGTTTAACAAAACCTGAACCAGATGTATTTTTAGCATGTGCAGAAAAATTTCCTAATCCACCATTATCTACGAGTCAATGTTTAGTATTTGAAGATGGAGAAAATGGTGTACGAGCTGCAGTTGCTGCTGGAATGAAAGTTGTACTTGTACCAAGTATACCATTAAGTAATTATGATCCATTGGTTATTCAACATGCTACACTTACATTGGATAGTCTTCTCAAATTTGATCCAGCCGAATTCGGTTTGCCAGCATTTAATGATATATAAAAATTAATTCTTTTTTTTTTGCCATATATTCTACTGGCTTTATTAATATTGTCTCGTGGTATTTAGTCTGTCAGATGTAACACAATAAGAAAACAAGTCAATGCAGTATTCTATTCAATCTAATCTGTTGCTTATATTTTGTTTTGTATTTTGATGTTTGATTAAAAATAAATTTTCTATGGTTAAATATTAAAACTAATAGTCTGAATAATAATTAGAAAAATTTTGTTTGAGAATCACTGTATATGTACAGTTAGTAAATTTGAATTATAACTTTTCAACATATGAATTAAATAAGAAAATGATTTAATGTTTTATGTATTGATCGTTGACACATAATGTTAGCGAATGAATCTATACCTATGTAATTAGTATCAAGAACCTACTACCGTTTGTTTTTTGAACGTATTCTATCGTAGTGAATTGTATTGCAAAGCGTGAGTATTTTGAAAGTCTATTAAAACTGGCAGAATAGAATCGCTGTCGATGAACTTCCATAACATTGATGCGCCTGAACCTCCTGTAGTGCCTACAGAGTCCAATTTTGTTCTAGTTATGAAATAAATTTTGATTGTAGATGGCACTATAAAAGTTTTTATCAGCAAGATACATTCTGAAATTGTTTTCTTTCTCGGTTAACTTGAGTTCTGTCTAATAAATAATTCGATTTCGAGTAGAAAATACTCTCTGCAATTGTTTATAGCTGGACCTGAAAGTCGTGATCTAATGTCGACAAACTAGACCTCTCAATAAAGTAAACCAATACAGATAAAAGTAAAAATACATTTTTTTTTTCATGAAATATTTTTAGAGCATTCCTATGACATGACAGAATTTTTTATTGAAAAAGTTATTTAAGAAGAAAACAAAGTTATATTTGATTAACCTATGGCATCTTTTTTTGCAGATGTAATTGAGATGAAATTGGTTTCCGTGTTCTTCTTCTTATTTTTTCTCCTTTATTTTAGTGTTTCTTCGCATGATAGAGAAGAAAAATTATCATTAAATTAGAAGTCTCTTTTTTCAAGTGTTTGATTGAAATAAAAGAAAAAAAAAGAAGAAAAGTGAGAAGTAAATGTGCATATTACAAAGACATAGAATTAATTGAACTACGTCAAAAAAAATATTAAAATGCAAAAAGAAAAATTCTCATACTAGAATAAATGATTGTATGTTATCAGGTTTTCTATTTCTTTATTTTTCATTTACACTTTAAAAAATGAGAGTAAAATAAAAGAACAAAAAAAAAAAGAAAAGCATATTTTCTTTTGTTTTTTTTTGAACTTCACTGTCATTTAAAGTGGGTGGTCTATTGCAAGTAAGATGGAATTGCGAATCAAGTTATTTAATTCGTTAATGGTAACTGTATTCATTTTTACAGTTAGTATAAGTAAGTCATTAAAAGATTAACAATAAATAACGAATGTCTTATATGAAACAGTATGGAATGCTGCCTAGCAGCAGCTCCAATAGCCCAATATCTTTTCTACAACTATGACTAGTTGTAAGTTAAGACGGAAGATCCGTCTGATGCAGAGTTAGTGGTTTGTTCAGGGCCATTCCATGGCAGGTGGTACTGAAGTCTGCATACAGTACCTTGTGGATACATGTCAAACAACGTAGTCACTAAGTTTTTATCCACCGTGCGGACCGAGAGGGTGGTGCTCTTCCGAAGAACTGATTGGCCATTTCGCAGTTTGCGGTTACTGTACCATGTACTAAGATGATGGGAAAAAGTTTAAGAATAACATATTTTTCTAGTGTTAATCAATTAGCTCGAAATCAAATATTGATTTTAATAGCTACTAGCATTTTCTATCGAATGGATTCTATAACAAGATTTCATAGATGTAATATGATGGCAACGTTCGAGAATACAGGACACAGTAGTATTCAGGCCTCAAAAGTTTATTTTTAACAATGCCATTTTAAAGAGCACAAAACGAGGAGTCATCGCATTCTCTATGAGCTTTCTTGAAAAAGTTTAAAGTATCCCAAAACGAGGAGCATACATTTTTTATTCGATGTAGAAAATGTGATTATTTATTTTGTTCAGAATTTTGTGCTCTTTAATACCATGCATTGTTAAAAATAGTTTTCTGGAACCTGAAAACTATCATATCAAAAATACGTTGTTGTTAAACTTTTGCTCACCACTTTATGTATCTCTACTACAAAAAAATAAGTGTTCGTCTTTTTGAAAGATAAAGTCTGAATAAAACACTGCTTATAGTCACATCGAAGGATGCCGAATATGTCAGCATATTTCAAATTTTAGCAGATCTGTTTTCTAAAGAAATTTTATAAGATTCTCGTATCTTTTTTTATGGTTTTTGCACACATACGGTTGAATACATGATATATTTACGTCAGCATAAAATTGACGTCAAAAATCTATTTGAAAGGTCAAGTCGACAGTTTCGTGAAGAATTAAACTTAATATCCATAGAGATCAGAATTAGAATTTCAATCGATTGTTTGAATGCCGTAAAGGTTAAAAAAACAGTATTCATTAGGTCACATTTAAAATAAAGAATTTTTTTAGCAGTTCGAAAACATATTTAATGGAAGAATGAGACATTTTTTTCGTCCGATGAATTAAATTTTACATTGTCAGATTTTGTTATAGGTCAGCGATGCGTAAAAAATCCCGTTGTTAAGTTGATAAGAATGACTTGACAATTTGACAGAAAATTCTTTTACTCATCTGGTTAAAACAATCTTTTGACTCGTAAGTCATGTAAGATCAGAAGCAGGAACAAAGCCAAAGAAATCATATACATCTTTACTTCTGAATGATTTGATTATAAACTCCTAGTTCATAAAGTTTCGAATCGAGATACTATGATCTATCTACTTCATCTCTGCGAATCATTAAAGGACTACCCCGCTAGGTAATACAAGTATATATTTATGTATGCATCCAAATAATTACAATAAGTTTTTTAATTGAAAAAAATTTCCATGAGCAAAATCGTTATGTCAATACAATTTTCATCCGAAGAAGACCAATATGCACTCAGTGCAAACAAAAGTAAATACTTTCATTAGGAGTGTATAGAAAGATTCCTTTTTCTTCTGAGTAATTACTCATCATTGAACAAAAACTTAAAATTGCTAAACAAAATATTGTCACATCTGATCGACGTAGAGATGTGATCCTCATTATCTGATTCTATTTTATATGTGATGATCATCTTAATTCTTTTTCCCGTTAGAAAACTATTTTTGTCTAAGAACAGTTGATCTATGAACAGTTTGTAGTGAAAAGTTTGGTCTAAAATATTGATCTGTTCATGAGCTATCATAATGTCAAGAATCAAAAATTAGGATCCCGTGTGACGGTACAAGTTTCGAATGAATTTTAAGCTGCGACAAAGACCTGCTGCCACGGCCTAACAGAATTCAATATTTCAAAACATTTTTTTCTTTACCTCTGATGAAATGTTGTCTTAAAAAATTCAACAGGGAAGGGATGGATCATAAAAAGTTTCAATCTTTGTATTTTATTTAAGTTACTTCATCAACCTATGCAGCGAATGCTAATGTTACTATTGACTATATCAAAGTTGGTGGTTGTAATTCAACAATTGTAGCTCGAGTTGGTAAGTATTATCAAACAATAAGTTCTTCATTAAATCTAATTTTTTATGCAGGTGATTATTGTGATCATGTTGTGACAATAACAATTGCAGCATTGAATAGTTCGAATTCTTCAATTGATCTAAGTGTTGAAATTATCCTACTTGATAATTATACTTCTGTTATGCAAATGTCAAAACCTGCAATAACATATGTCGGTGGAAATTTTCTTAATTCAGGAAATCTTTATCGACCAACAATTACCTTGATATCCCAATCGACTACATCTCAAGTATAAATCGAAAAGAACTTTTTTTGAACACCAAATATGAATCTTTAAATATACTTTAGTTTGATGATGCTCGTATTGATTTCGGAATAGTTGTCAACAATGGTCTTGTTGCACCGAATAATGATACAGAAAGTACAATTACAATTTCCTTTCGTAGTGTTGTTATTAGTAATCCAAGTTATCAAGTCGATGGAGCTGCATATGTATGTAAAAAAAATCTCAATTTTTATCTTTTTAATCAAATATCTTTTTGTTTCTAGTGGGTTACTGTTGGCGTTGAATATAATAATGCTTCAGAAATATGGATTGGTCAAACATTATTCAATTTTTCTAATAGTTCGAATGTTCGTACAAAAATGTGTTTTGTTTTTCAAACATTTATGATACTTTATTTATTTTATTTAGGGTGGATCGGGTTCTTTTACAATTGGTACTATCAGTAATTCAAGTTTACAAATTCCTCAAGGTTCACCATTTGCATTATCAGTTCCAATTAATTATAATAATACATATGCATCAAATTTTGTTTTTACAATTACAAATAATAATCCATCACAATTAGGACTTTGTTCAGCATATGTTCAAGTAAATAATCTATACATATATAATATGTTATCGAAAAATTATTTAACAATATATACAGTGTGTTACAAAAGTCAGCCATAAAATAAAATTGTAATAACACTTCAACGATTCAAATGCTTGACATCAACACCAAGGCATGAAACTGTACGTAGAAAACCAATGCATAAAGCTTGTTCCGAGATCACTGTGATCTCATTGTCGATTCTTATTTATAGGTAAATAAGAATTGATGATGAGATCAAAGTGATCTCAAAACAAACTTTATGCATTGGTTTTCTACATATATAGTTTCGTGCCTTAATGTACTTTAGAAATTTGAAAACATTGAATTTGAATCTGGAGGCGAAGGTTCAATTTGGACTGAGAAAATGAATGTTTCCTTTTTGCATAGAATTAAAAACGATATTGTTCTCTACGAGAGAAACATTTGATTTCTCTAAGTTTCTTTAAAGAGACTGAAAAAAAATGAATGAATATTTTGTCGAATTACTTTTCGAGATGTTGTTATATAAATTATACATTATTTGTTATATATTAATACAGAGTGCATCTGCTGGTTTCGCACATTTACCAACGTTAGGTTATGAAATATCACAATCTTTAACAACTTCATTAACTAATAATCAAATTTCAATTCGTCTTGGTCAAATTGTTAATACACGTATGTTGATTGTTTCATTAGTTTCAAAATTTATCACATTATTTCTTTTTTCGTTCCTATTAACAGAATCCTACAGTGGTACATCATCAACTCTTTATATAGTTGCTTATGGACGCATATTTAAAACTGATAGTAGTAGTTCATATATAGCTGGTACAATGTCTGTTCAAATAAATACAACAACAAGTTCACCAGTGACACAAACTTTTACCATCTATGCAATACCAGCTGTTATAGCTTATTCTTTAGTAAGTAAAAATGTTTTGAAAATAAAAGTAAATTTATATTTCATAAAATATAGAATGGTTCGATACCAACATTGTCTCTTGTACAACAAACAAATGTAGTTGGTATCTATCAAACATTACAATTGACAGTAACAATGGTTCTTCCGAGTAGTTTTTCTGCACCAGTTCTTATTGATTTACATGGTTCATTGAATACATCAATACCAAATTTAAAACCATGTACAATTATATTTCAATCAGCTGGTGAAAATGTTGGTAGTTCAAATCCTCAATGTGCTGATCAAAGTTTATCAAGATTCACTTATACATCAAGTGATAATTCAACTATTTATAATCAATTATCATATGATTATGGTGTTATGTCTAATATGGGTGCACGTTCAACAATTTATTCTACTACAGTTAATACAATTGTGTAAGTAAAATCCAAAATCGATAACAGTTATTTTTAATCTTTATTATTCAATTAGTTTTAATGCAATTTTTCAAGTATTAAATACAACAGAAAGTGTTGTTTCACCAACTATTATTGTCACATTTGGAAATAATACAATATGGCTTAGTAGTACTAATATAAATGTCACAACAATAAATTATAATATAACAGTAAGAAGAAGAACAAAAATTTTTCTTTTCGAATTAATTTTTTTTTCACTTAAATCTTAAGAATGCAACTCAACCAACTTTCTCATTATCCTATGAAACAAATAGTACAACTAATCAATCAGCTACAATTTTAGGAAATACACGTTTATTTTATTATGATATATATACAAAAGCAAGTGGGATCTATACACCAATGGTATTAAGAATAACAACAAATGAAACATCATTGGGTAGTGGAATACCAGCTGCAAGTATTTGTCTTGTTAAAATTTTATATGTTGGATCAAATCTTCCATGTCTAATTCAAACACTTTATAATCAAGATCAATCACCATTTATTACTTATTCATCAAGGTTTATTTTTCATTAATTTATTTAATTAGAAAACAAAAAGGATATTTTCTTCATAGATATAATCAACGTAAAAATGATACTGTGAATATACAATTTGGTCCATTATGTAATTATCAAACGACACAAACTGATAATAGTCTTGGTCAAATTCGTGTTGGTAAGATAATGAAAATGTTCATATACAAAATAATTTATATGAAATTATATAGGTGTTTATGTCAAAATTGAATCATCATTAGGTGATGGACAGAGTACTCATGTTAGTGTCGATGTTTATTATACACCATCAAATCTTTGGATTGGACAAATGCCTTTTACAGGATATCAAGCAGTTAGTCCACCAAATGTTGTGGTAAAAAATATTTCTTTTTTGAAATACTAGTCAAAGATAAATTAATCTTTTTGTTTTTTCAAGGGAACACCTTTAATTTTTCCATTTAATTCAACAACACAATCATTCGATAGAAATTCATTAACAATTGTCAATTATGGTTTAAAAATTCCAGTTGCTTCAGTTGGAACTTATTCATCATTGAATAGTGCTAGTAAGAATATTAAAGAATTTATTTTTTATTCTTATTTTTCTTTATTATATAGTTGTCAATGAAGTTAATCAACACACAAGTGTGTGTCGTGTTGATATATCACCAAATCGTGGTAGAAATGTTCCATGTTCAAATGATGTATCATCAGTATTTACTTATAATTCAAATGGATATTCTTCAATAGCAACAACAGATCTTGGAATGATTTGTAATCTAGCTTGTAAGTATTAGAATAGAAATTCAGATCTCTACCCCACACACGTGGCAGACTTATGAAGAAACTTTCTCAGATGCTTCTCCCGATTTCAATGATTTTTAATCTATAGATGTTACTTAGTGCCCTAATAATTATTAATCATGAATATATCAGTGCGTTGGAAGTATCTCTTGATTTTGCGATATATGCAGATATCAATTGTTTTTCAAATTGTAATCTCACAGGGATTGTGCTCATATTTTCTTTTGCTTTTTTAATTATTGTTTAATTTAATATTAGCGAATACTTCGACATTGAATTCATCATTATCAATTGATTCGGATACATTAACTATTCAAGTTTTTCTTCTTGCTACATTACAAACAAGTTCAACATTTGATTTAACTCTATCAAATTTAATACCATCTGGTCACACAGCATTAGGAACATTAACATCAACATTTAATAGTGGTTTAACAAATAACTTTGGATATGTAAATATAAGTTTTTTTGTTTGAATTTATTGTAAAAAAATTATTTGATTTAATCAACTAAAATGTGAACAAGATTTCATCATTCGATATGTTCTTATTATGTAGATATCGTCGATGAATTCATTAAATGCAACAAATTATCAACAATTAAATGATACAAACAATAGTTCATTTGTTTATCTTGGTCAAGATATATTAATACGTACACAAATTGTACTTACCAATAATCTAAGCAGTCAATCGTGTTATCCATTATTATTTGAATTCGGTTTTACACCATCAAATATTGATGCAGCTTATTTTACAAATGCATTTTTTATTAATTCTGGTGACAATTTAATGTGTATGCAAACGAAAGCAACACCAATTCTTAGCAGGTAATATAGAATTTAATCAGGTTTTTTTCGAAGCACAATCTAAAAGGAGTGTTGAAGTATAGGAGTAGAAATTGGGACCCGTTGAATTATTTCTTTATTAGATTTCTCGAGAATTAAGTAAAAAATGTTATCTATCATAGTGGTGGTTCAACGATTTACAATACTTCAATGTATCTCGATCTTGGTGTAGTATGTTATTATCCAATTGATCCTATGAATATATCAGCAAGCACAGTACGTTAACATGGATACTCTTTAAATATTAATAAATATCTTTTTGTTTTCGTTGATTTAGTTAATTATTCAAAGTAATGCTCGTGTACCAGTGACAACAACAGTTCCAGTAGGTAATCAAATATCAATAAATATAGCAGCTTTAGTTAATAATAATCAATCAAGTTTAAATACAAGTATTTCATTAATTGTAAAAAATCATACAACTTATTCTGGCTTTACATTATTTGTAATTTTCTCTTTTTTGTTTTTGAAATTTTCATACTTTTATTCAATATAAATAAATTTTTCAGTCAAATGATACAGCAAATATACTTATAGCAACAACAAATTCAACAATACAAAGTGACATACGTCAAATAGTGACATATACATTTAAAATATATTTACCAACATATTCTCAAGGACGTTTACAAATTTTCATAGCTAGTACACAAATGTCAAATAGTGTTACAATTAATATCATATCAGCTGATATACTTTCAGCTGGTATTAATGTTGGATCATTTATGCATGAATATATACTTGGAAATAAATATCAGTGGAGTTATTCATCAAGTGTATTAGGCTCGAGTTATCAAGATACAGCTTATCTTGATTTAGGTGTTGTAACAAATACAGGTATGAAAAACAAATGTTTATTAGTTTTTATTTAATTAATTAATCAATTGATAGGAACATCGGCTATGTTAAATACATTTTCAAATATAACAGATAATTTTATTGTTGTTCAAGCAAATGGATATTTAACAGATAGTCCATTAGCTGAAGAAAATTCTACATTTAGCGTTGTTTTAACTGCGATTTATGGAGGAATTAATGTTTCAAATTCATTTTTAAGTGTTGTCTCTAGAAATGGAACTGAACAACCAATTATGTTTATTAATCATACTGATATTACTAGTGGAAGCTATGGAATAGGGTACGAAGAAATACGAATATGTTCAAAAATTTTTTGATCAATTAAACACTTTCTTTTCGTCAACCAACCGAGTCAGAATCAGACACTATTTCTTGTATACTATCAGAGAGATTAAAAGGCGTCATCATCGTCTTGTCATTCTGGCAAGAATCACTTCACTGGAAATTCTAGAACTGTCAAATAGAGAATTCTCTAAAATAGTATCGTTCTTACACTCTTTTGTTTTTTTTATCACGAAAATTCTCCAACAATGAAAAGAAAACTATCCTGACAATTTTTTATAGTACTCAAATGATTTGAAAAAAAGAAGAATTTGTCATGTGATTTTGGAATAATCTTTCTAATTTTTAGAAATATTTTCGATTTCTTTTATTTTCTTTTTAATCTAGATCAACATATAGTGGTATAATTCAATATGGTCATGAAAATAATTCTAAAGCTGAATGTATTAATGCTCAAATCATAATTTATTTACCAACATGGATATCATTCCAAAGTTACAATTCAACAACTCCAGCAGTAAATTATACAAATGATAATAATTCATATGTTCTATTCAATGTAAATAAAATATGTTTATTTTTTTTTGAAAGATTTTCTACAATTAATAATATTTTATTTTTAGTTGGGTACAATTTTATTTAATGATGTTGGTTCATTAACATTTACTCTTAATATTGGTACATCAAATCAGATGACTTTAGTTTATCAAAGATATAATTCACCAAGTATTACAATACCTTATGAATTGATCTGTATGAAACGTTCAAGGTAGATTAACTATGAAAATAAGAATTCATAAATGAATGTTGTTTTGTTTTTGTGAAGAGCCAATGCAACATATAATTCTGCATCAAAAATATTTGCTTTTAATGATATTATATCTTTATCAACATCAGTAGTATCTGGTATTTCAAATACTTTTTTTAAATATCTTTTTGATTAATTGTATTTATATTAGTTTTAAATTATGTAACTTTACTCGATACATTAAATTCTTGCCAATTTACAACAAGTGTTATTGGATCAGATGCATCATTAGTTCGAACAAGTAATATAACAGTTTTTATTAATCTAAAAGAATAATTCGTTATTTTAATAGCTGGCTGGCAAACTGGCTATCGATCAAACCAATGGATGTTATCTGGTAGTACTTATGTACAAATCAATTTTGGTAATTTAACATTAATTAATGGAATACAATTAACTGTGCCCGCATCATTTGCATCGATTCTTTTTGTTCAACTCGGTTATAGTTGGGATGGAAATAGTTTTGCTGTAGATTCAACAAAATATTTCGTAAATGGTAGTTCATCATATATATTCCCATTATCAAAATCATTATTGATTCGATATTTACGTGTTTATTTAATTGATGTTGTACAACCGAGTGATTTATCAATAAAAACATCAGGTTTTATTCTTAATATAACTGGTATAGTTAATTCAACGAATGTAACTGTTGCAAGTAAGATAATAATATTAATTAAAATAATTTAGAAAAAAAAAAACATTAAATAATGTTCGTTTTTCAGATGTTTGTCCTAGTGTATCAAACACACTATCACCACGAACAATACTTGTGGCACCTCCTGCACAAGTAGGTCTCACCTATTCCAATGATGTATATGTTTGTGATGAAACAATAACAAGGTGAAATGAAAAGAATTTTTGTCTTAGTTTTAATTTGTATATTTATATTATATAGAACATTGATTTTATGCCATGTACTTTTCAATGGTAATATGTCAACATTAGCTACATGGACTGGTAAGCAGTTTCTTTCATTAGATCTGATTGATTCTTTTTCTTTAGCTTTGAATACAACTGTAGCAAATATTCAGTTATTTGTATATGATACTGTACAACAAATACAATCTTTATATGGATATGCCCAAGATGGTGTATCAATAGTACGTAGTGATGATCGTGGTCTAACATGGTTTGTAACTGATTTCGCGGAATATTTAAATGTCAGAATAGAATTATTTAACAAAAAAAATTTTCACAAAAAAAAAACTTTTTCCTTTTAAGGTGACAGCACAATGTAATGTAAATTCAACAGTATGTACAATGAGTGAATCGTATCCATTAATGAATAGTTCACCGGGTTATTTACAATTACAAAATGGTACTGTACCGTGGACAGCTTCCATTAATGGACTTTGGACACAACCATTAAGTGGAACTTTAGCATTTGATTGGTTTGAATATTAATTACAGATAAAGTTGAAATTACTTATTTTGTTTTAAACAATTATTTATCAATGTTGTTTTGTGTTTTATTTTATTTTTATTTATTTATCCAATAATGATGTAAAATATACTTTGTTAATAAAAATAGATGTGTTGTTGTGTATATCTTATATGTCCTTAAAGAAATTTTGATACTGATTGGATTTATGAACTAATTATTTTACTGCGTGAAGTTTCATGAAAGTTCGATGGTGCTAATCAGTTTATCTTGGATAACATCGATATGTTACATGGACTCCATATGAATAATAGTTACGCATTTATCTGTCCGATGACATTATCAACCAGAAACGTACGAAACGTATTTTTTTAGTTCCGTTTGGAAAAGACTATCTCTTCCACGCATCTGTTTGCAGCTGATACGACTCTTCATTAATAGAGTCGTAATAAACCATTAAAAGTTATGAAATACTTTTCTATGTTGAATCTTCGTTCTGAAGGCGTCGACGAATTACTGAGTCTTTCTAGAAGAAGAAAATATATAATACTATTGTTCATAGCAGACAGCGAAATATTGTTTTTTTTCCTTTATTACTAATATAAAATGAAAATATCTGGAGGATGTACATAGACAGCTGACACTTGTTTCCTAACTCACGGTCACTTTAGTTGAGAGTGAGTGTGGATACGGTGAAAGACAGGACATACGCCCACATCCACATTCAGCTTGACTTAGTTCAAGAGAATGATGTTATTTCTACTACTCTCTACCACTCATAGCTCAGTCAATAAAAAAAGCCATTTGGATGTTGTGAGACAGAGAAAAGAAAGAGTTATTTCTCCGTCTCTGTAGTATTCACTTTATTTTTTTTTCGTTGATAACGACCCATACACGTGCGAAGTGTGCTTGAAACAGAGGAAAAATCGATGAAGTTTCCCTTCGAATGAATTATTCTTTCTTGACATTGTTTTCTCTTGAAACCTCTGATTTGCAGAATATTTTCGGGAGATAAATATGATCGACTTGAGAACAGTGGGGTTTATCTAACGAGAAAGTAATTTGGTGCTGCTAGAATGACGAGATTGGTTTATTTTGGTTTCAGATCTTCAAGAGTTGTGTCCATTAGCTTGGACGACTTGTGGTCGCATTTTTACCGATCGACCAAAAGTGATCTCAGGAATTCGATGATATTTTAGACCATAGCGTGTTCGACTAGTCGATCAGATTTGCCAAAAAAGTTTTGAGAGCAAAATTGCTTTCACGAAGAGTGAAGGGTGGACGTTGGACTGATATAGGTATGAATGTGTGGGTGTTCGTGTGACTGACTGACGAGGGAACATTCCCAACTGTCACATCGCTTTTTTCAGTCGAGGGTATGCGCATCATGTAGGCCATAATAATCTATGAATACTCTGAAAAATTTTTGTGTCGCTAGCTTATTACTGCCGAGATATTGTATTTTTACTGTATGTTTAAGAAAAAAAAGCCATGGTGTCCCTCAGAAACGCTAGGAAAACTGAGTTTGAAATTTCCGCTTGAAACTTTGCACAAAGACAGGCTTCAATGAGAATAGTTTATTGTGAAAGTTTCAGATATTTTGATTGCTCCTAGTCTGAATTAAGAACATCGGAATTTGCTGATGTATATGAGCGATTTTACTATGGCGGTATCTTAGGATAAGAGCAATCAAAATATCTGAAACTTTCACAATAAACTATTCTCATTGAGGCCTGTCTCTGTGCAAAGTTTCAAGTGCAAATTTCAAATTCAGTTTTCCTAGTGTTCCTGAGGGGGACCAAGGCTTTTTTTCTTAAACATACAGTAAAAATGCAATATCTCGGCAGTAATAAGCTAGCGGCACGAACTTTGTTCAGAGTATTCATAGACCATTAGGGCCTACATAGTGCGCATACGCTAGACTCAAAAGCGATGTGATAGTTGGAAGTGTTCCCTTGTGAAGGCTCTCTATTCATCTACAAACTCCCAATAACACTCTACCACACAGACTAGAGGTCGAACCGGTTCAGTTCCGTTCGAGCCAATGAAAGTAGTTAAAAAAAGTTGTATCTTAGCATCTTAACTGCTGACACTCACTTATTTAGATCACCTTTCTATTCGTGACACGTTTGAGAGAAATGAGAGCGAACGGTTGAGTATATAAAATGATTATTTAAAATTCAAAACCGAAAAAGACCTGATTCAAACATCGATCGTCTGGTTCGAGTCCGGTTCGGTTCTACTCATTTCTCAAAATATCGGTTCGGGTTCGGCTTGGTTTGGTTCGTTTTCGGTCTCTGACACTCACATCCATATCCCAATTAAAATATTGAATGTATCTGTTTTTCCACTCAGTCTCATTAAAACACTATTACCTCACACACTAAAGATAGGAAACATCAAAAGAAAAGTGAAATAGATGAATATTTTCACAATACATCAATTTGATTGTTGAGGAACTCAAACAAAGTAAGAGATTTTAATAAATAAAAAAGCCACGATAAAAATGAGAAACAACTGTTATCGCTATTGCTCGTAAAGTGCTGTGGTGAATATAGGTACGTGATTTTGAGTATTCTCTTTTTCCACACTTATTCATTGGATTCCACATCAAAACCCAATCCTAAACCCGAACTTACATTTATATAGATATCAATAATTCAAACTATCACGAACACCGATGTATCCTTATGGGAACCTCACATCCACATCCATACCTGAATCGCTAATGGAGCAGAAATTTTTGAATTCAGTGTTGAAAAAAAGCCAACGTATTTAATCAATTTCAAAGTATGAACAGACTTTAAAAATTTCCGAAGCTATTCCATCTAATGATGTTCTATTGGCTGCACGCCTACTATTAAATCTATGTAACGTCTGAGTTCGTCGGCAAGAATTCGACAATGGTGAGCTGCTATTGACCTGTTGTTATCTCCGTAATTCAAATCAATGTGTGCTTGATCCATGAAATGTTCAACGACCTCATGACGAAGACAAGTGTAAAGACATTTGATATCGAAAACTTGAACAAATGGATAGCAACTAAACTGTTGGACCCTTTGCATCGTTGTGTATCTGTCTGCACAGTAAAAGTGAAAACGTACGTTATTAGCAAGTGGTGCCAGTGTCTCGATGGTGTTATCACAACTATCAGGTAAAAACAAGTCGACACGCTTGACAGTTGGCGCCTTTGCAATCACAAACTGTGTACATTCATCTAATCTTGTGAAACGACGATAAAAGGAAGATTCAAATTCGTTGTCCAGTAGTGAATACTGACCAGTTTCGTCGAAAAAAATAATAAATGATTGATGAGAAGTCATACAGGCGTAAAAATCTACAAAAAACGTATCGTCATTAATGATTTACTTATCATTAAAGGTTGCACACAGCAAAAACTGAAAAAATATGGCGTATTTAAACATCCAATGGATTAGTTTTTTTCGCGCCTCAATGATGGCAGCCAACCGCTGGTAGAGTGTAGCACCTTCGTTGAAATACTTGCGAGCTTCCAGTACGTCGTGGTGCTTAAGAAGATCATCTCCGATTTTTCGATATTCTAAAGCTGAATCCAATGCCCAACGGACGAGAAGATTTTCTTCATTTTCAAATAGTTCTTTTATATTGGGAACTGTTTTGAAAATCGATACGGATTCGTCTGACAAACTTTTTATAAGCACATAGATGGCTGGCAACTGTGTGTTAGTACGGGCAAGCTTGCTTATAAGTTCCATGATTTTGTCATATTCTACCGTCTTCGCATTAATTATGAATGATGGCCGATTGAACAAGAATTGAATCTGAGTCAGGTCGATGAATGTGAACCGACCTGACGTTAGTTGGTCAAGTAACGATCTGAGTCTATTCTCCTTTTTCTGCCGACAGCTATCCTTTAGCTCCAGCAAAACAGGCCACTGATGTTTAATTGTTGCATCTTGCAGTAGTTGTAGAATTTGACGAATTTCATCATTGTAAGCCTCTTCATAAACTGTAAGCCCAAAGCAATTGCGCACTAGATAACTGAGAGAACAACGTTGAACAATAAGACGAACAATGGCAACATGGCCGTAATAAGAGGCGGCGTGCAGAGCAGTGCTTCCGTTGGGCTCAAGCTGGTTGGGATCAGGAAGAGGAGATGTTGAAAGAAGCAGCAAGGCATCATGTACGTTGCCATTGCGGCACGCTATGTAAAATTTGCTAGGTGTGGTATCGTGAAGAGACTCCTTTGTACTCTGATGGAAGCGACCATCTTCGTCTCTGTTACTCAATGACGAACACATTTGTATCTAAAAGAAAAACAACTTATATTGACTGGATGCAGTTACGCAACTAGTCTAGCTATGCATCTTCTAGGATAATTAATCCCAATGGTATTCTCTCGATCATTTATGATTGTGTGGGGTGTGGGTGTGGGTGTGTGTGGAGCTAAAAAGGAGGTAAATACCCACACCCACACCCACACCCCACACCCACACCCTACTCGTAAGAACTTTAGGTGCTAGTTTAGACAAATATCAAACTCGTCTCTTTCATGAGAAATTGAACAATTAATCTAGCGCAATGGATTTTTATAATGACTTTTCGTTAAGATAAAATTGGGAAAATATACTTGATATTGATTTACCTTACCTTACACTTGATTTTCTTGATGAGTACATCTGCGAAGTTTATCAAATTAAACAGACTTNAAAGATCGTAAGTCATCATTTGAAAATAATATTCCTTCAGCATGGATAGTACGGTTAAAATCTCGCAAATCGGATGATGGTACCTTTGTAAGATGGCGTGGTGACTGTGTGCTTTGGCTTGGATGATCAGTGTATACTTTGCCATCAGCTGGAGATTCTCTGCTTGGCAGCTTAGTGCTCAGTGAATATTGTGAAAATATACTTCGATCCGATGGTGGTTGTTTGCTTAAGTAAGCTTCAATTTGTGCTTTTTGATTTCTTGACAAATTCGCTCGACCTTCTAGGAATGATCGTAAATCTTCGACTGAGAATAATATTCCTTCGTGGGGCATGGTGTCATTACGATCTTTTGAATGATTATCTGGGAATTGTGTGTCTTCGCTTTCGTATTCAGGATATAGGTTGCCATTAAATGTATAATTTGGGGCACGTAGTTTTGTGCTCGTTGGGTAAGTAAAAAGAATGCTTTGGTTGGATGATGATTGTTTACTTAGATACGCTCGAATCTGCTCCTTTTGCTTGTTTGACAAATTAGGTCGACCTTCGAGGACAGATCGTAAGTCAGCATTGGAAAATAATATTTCTTCTGCATGGATAGTGCGGTTAAAATCTGGCGGATGGGAAAATATTGTATTTGTAAGATTGCGTTGCGATTGTGTACTTTGACTTTGATGACCAGGGTGTATTTCGTCTTCAGCTGTAGATTCTTTGCTTGGTACTTTGGTGCTCGTTGAATATTTTGAAAAGGTGCTCGGATCTGATAATGATTGTTTATTGAGATAAGCTGCAATCTCGGTTTTTTGCTTCTTTGACAAATTCGCTCGACCTTGAAGGAAAGATCGTAAATCATCGTCTGAAAATAATATTCCTTCTTGAACTATTGTGTGATTAGGATCTTTTGATTGATTATGTGCCAATTGTTTGTCTGCGCTTTCGTATTCTGTATATAGGCTGTCATCAAATGTATAATTTGTTACTGCTGGTTTGGTGCTCGTTGAATGTGTTGGAAAACTGCTTCGATTGGGTGACGAGTGGTGACTGAAATAAGCTCTTATTTGTTCTTTTTGCTTGTTTGACAAATTGGCTCGACCTTCTAGGAATGATCGCAAATTATCATCGGAGAATGAAACGCCTTCTGTGCTTTTGGTGTGATTAGAATCTTTCGAGTAGGATAATGGTGTCGTTATTAGATAATGTTGCGACTGCGTCGTTTCGTTTTGGTAGTCAGCATGGATACCAGCAGGTGTATATAGTTGAGTTGCTATCTTGGTACTTGTTGCATATTTCGAAAAAAAATCTTGGTTGGATGACGATTGTTTACTTAAATAAGCTTCTATCTGAGTTTTTTGATTATTTGACAAATTTGCTCGACCATCAAAAAAAGATCGCAAATCATCATCGGAGAACAATATTCCTTCCTCGTCTATGGTATGATTAAAATCTTTCGAATCAGACAGCGGTCTCTTTGTCACATAACCATTAGACTGCGTATCATCGCTTTCATCATCTGATTTCAGACCGTCATCAAGCGTGAATTTTACGTCTGGTAGTTTTGTGCGTGTTGAATATTTTGAAGATGTGCTTCGATTAGATGACGCTTGTTCACTTAAATAAGCTTCAATTTGTGCTTTTTGATTCCTTGACAAATTCGCTCTGCCTTCTAGGAATGATCGCAAATCATCGTCTGAGAACAATATTTCTTCTCTATCTATTGTGCGATTAAAATCTTTCGAATGAAATAATGGTGTCCGTGGTACATCACTTTGTGATTGCATACTATCGATTTGATCGTCTCGATATAGGTTGTCGTCCGCTGGATATTTTCTGCTTGGTAGCTTAGTGCTCGTTGAATATTTTAAAAAAATGTCGTGGCTGCGTGAAGGTTGTTTACTAAGATAAGCTCGAATATGCGCCTTTTGCTTTTTTGACAAATTAGCTCGACCTTCTAGGAAAGATCGTAAGTCATCAAGAGACAATGGTATTCCGTCTTCATGAAGTGTACGATTGAAGTCATTCCAATCAGATAATGGTATCTCCAATTCATAATCTTGCAACTGTGTATCTTCACTTTCGTAGTCAGCATGCACGTTCTCATCATGTGTATATTTCTTGCCTGGGAATTTTGTACTCGCTGGAAATTTCGAAGAGATACTTCGATTAGATGACAATTGTTTGCTTAAATAAGCTTCGATCTTCGCTTTTTGATTTTCTGATAAATTTGCTCGGCCTTCAAGGAATGACCGTAAGTCATCATCTGAGAATAATATCTTTTCTCTATCTATTGTGCGATTAAAAGCTTTCGAATCAAATAATGGTGTCGTTGTTAGATAAGAGTGTGGCTGTGTATTCCCACTTTCATAGTCAAGATACGCGTTGTCAGTAGGTATATATTTTCTGCCTGGTAGTTTTGTGCTCGTCGAATGGTTCAAAGAGGCACTTCGATTGGAAGACAATCGTGTACGTAAATAGGCTTCAATCTGCGCCTTTTGTTTCTTTGAAAAATTCGATCGACCTTCAAGGAAAAACCGCACATCGTCATCAGAGAATAATATTCTTTCTTCGTCTTTACTGCGATTAAAAATTTTCGAATCGGATAATGGTATCTTCGAATCATAATCTTGCAACTGAATCTCTTCGCCTGCATAGTCAGGATATACGTTGTGAAGAGGTGCATATTTAGTGATCGGTAGTGTTGTACTTGTTAAATATTTAGAAAATGCACTTCGATTTGTTGATGATTGTTTATTTAGATAGGCTTCAATCTGTTCTTTTTGATTATTTGATAAATTCGATCGACCTTCTATAAATGATCGTAAGTCATCGTCTGAGAATAATATGTTTTCTGTGTCTATTGTGCGATTAAGATCTTTCGAATCAAATAATGGTGTCTTTGTTAGATAAGAATGTGATTGTGTATTCCCACTTTCATACTCAGGATATCTGTTGTCAATAGATGTATATTTTCTGCCTGGTAGTTTTGTGCTAGTCGAATAGTTCAAAGAAGCACTTCGGTTGGAAGACAATCGTGTACGTAAATAGGCTTCAATCTGTGCTTTTTGTTTCTTTGAAAAATTCGCTCGACCTTCAAGGAAAGACCGCACATCATCATCGGAGAATAATATTCTTTCTTTATCTTTACTGCGATTAAGAGTTTTGGAATCAGATAATGGTATCTTCGAATCATAATCTTGTAGCTGTATGTCTTCGCTTGAATAATCAGGATATTCGTTATCAAGAGAAGCGTATATAGTAGCCGGTAGTTTTGTACTTGTTAAGTATTTAGAAAATGCACTTCGATTTGTTGATGATTGTTTATTTAAATAAGTTTCAATCTGTTCTTTTTGATTATTCGAGAAATTTGCACGACCTTCTAAGAATGATTGCAAATCATCGTCGGAGAAAAATATTTCTGTATCGATTGTGGGATTAAAGTCTTTTGAATCAGATAATGGTGTCTTCGTGAGATAGTCTTGAGGCTGTGTATCATGGTTGTCAAAGTGAGATTTCTTGCTGTCATGATATGTGTATTTTGTGGTTGGTAGTTTTGTGCTCGGTAAGGATTTGAAAGATTCACTTCGACTGGTTGATGATTGCTTATTTAAATAAGCTTGAATTTTCTCTTTTTGACTCTTGGTGAAATTCGATGGATCTTCTAGAAAAGATCGTAAATCATCATCAGAGAATGATATTCCTTCTGTGTCTTTAGTGCGATTTAAATTTTTCGAATCCGATAATGGTATCTTCGAGTCATAATCTTGGGAACGTATATCTTCGATCCCATGATCAGAATATACGTTATCAAGAGAAGCATTTATAGTGGTCGGTAGTTTTGTGCTCGTTAAGTATTTAGAAAATGCACTTCGATTGGCTGACGATTGCTTATTTAAATAAGCCTCAATCTTTGCTTTTTGTTCCTTTGAAAAATTCGCGCGACCTTCTAAGAATGATTGTACATCATCGTCTGAAAACATTATTTCTGTATCGATTGTGTGATTAAAGTCTTTCACATCAGATAGTAGTGTCTCTGTGTGATAACCTGGAGATTTTGTAGTATTTCTTTGATAGTAAAAGTTCGTCTTGTTGTCAAGCGTATATTTTGTGATTGGTAGTTTTGTGCTCGTTGTATATTTCGAAAATGCACTTCGATTTAATGATAATTGTTGATTTATGTAAGCTTGAATTTTTGCTTTTTGACTCTTTGTAAAATTCGCACGATCTTCTAGAAAAGATCGCAAATCATGATCAGAGAATGGTATTTGTTCTTGGTCTATTGTGTAATTCAAAGCATTCGAATCATTTGATGGCGTCTTTGAATCATGATCTTGTAACTGTGTATCTTCGCTTTTATAGTCAGGATACAGGTTGTCATCAAGTGTATATTTGTGGACTGGTAGTTTTGTACTGGTTATATATTTTAAAGAAGCACTTCGATTGAATGCCGAGTGTTTACTTAAATAAGCCTCAATCCGTGCTTTTTGATTATTTGAGAGATTCGTTCGACCTTCTAGAAAAGATCGCAAATCATTGTCGGACAATAGTATTTCTTCCGTGTATATCGTGCGATTAAAATGTTCTGAATCCGGTGGCGGTCGTTTCGATTTATAATCTTGAGATTGGGTAACTTCATGTAGTAATAAGTTTTCTCCTTTCTCAGTTGTAGATCGTAAATCATCCTTAACTATGATTGATTCAGATGGACTGCTAGAAAGCAATTGCGTGTCAGGTGATGTTTTGCGAAGTAAGGGAGTGTCAGATTGCGACTTTTTTTCTAATGATTGATTTTTTTGTTCTTGAGAATCGAGTTGGGTGTTGTCAAGAAATTGATAATTATCATCAAGGTCACTTGGTTGTGGTTCATCGGATAAAAAAGAAATGTAGGATACTGTTGACGAATCGCCTGTAAATAACTTAGTTTGATTGATTGATGAGATTTCTTCATCAATAGCATTGTTTTTTTGTTGGTAATTTGACATTGTTGTCGTGAATCGAGACGAAGATATTCTTGGTGTTGAAAAAAATTGCGTATATTTCTTTGTTATATTTGTTGTCGATGATAACGTGTATGATATTGGCCAAAGTATCGGGATAGTGGTATTATCAGTTATACTATTATTGAAATCCACATTTTCTTCCAAATTGACAGCTATATATAATAAGGGAAGGATAGTGATAGATAAAGCAGGTTATTTGTGATTCACAATAACAAAAGCAAAGCAAAATAAATACAATTTGTTTTTCCTACCAGGATATCGAGTCGAAGGATACACTTTTTCTGGTTCTAAGAAAGAAAAGTTCATTTATTTTGAAGGAACAGCAACACAGTCTTGGTGAATTACCAGTAAAATATAAAAAATTAAACATCCAATAAGACGGAATATTTCTTGCATTTCTTTTCATCGTGGCATAAACATAAGTAGTTGCATTAAGTCGTTCAAGTGTTATAGGTAAATCTGATGCTTTAGAAAATACACTTCGTATTGTTGAATATGTCTGAACAAACATAACTAATACCATTGAACGTGTAGCAATGTATCTATTAAAAAAAAAACAGTTAAATGGTGCGGGAGCAGCGATGTGATCTGTTTAGATCAGCTTAATTTTTTTCTCAGAAGAAAACATAAAATTTATTAGGTTTCGTAGTGTTTGAGAGTGCAAATCTAACCATGTAGAAATGCAGTCGCGAAGTCTCAAATTCGGAGTACGTTTGTCCGTTAGAAGCTTGACCATCACCATAAGATTTCGACTTGTTGTACTTTAAGAAGACATATGCGTCTTTTGAGTTACAGTCACCCCTCGCTGAGCGTACTCATAGTATGATCAATCGAGCATGATTTGATCTACATTTTAGTATCAAAATGTTAAATAAATGACCTTTCATTGGATCAAGAATGTCTGAGCAATCTTAATCGATGGACTTACGGCCATTAGTCGATCCTAAGCATCTTATATATGAAAAAAACAATAAAAATAAATGCATCGCCAAAAGTTAAATGCTAGCAAAGCACATGATGAGCTACAAGAATATGCATAATTTGTCGGGGAAAAGTATAGCCGCATGCTCAGAGTCGAGATCCTTTTGTCCTGATAGGTCAAAGTGGTCATTTTTTGATCAATATTTGCGGATCCTTCTAAAACTCGTCACTTTTCTCATGAATATTAATAACATAATTGGAGTGAGCATCATCAACTGAGTTGGTCTATATATGTTTCAAGTTATTCAGACAACATTTATTTTGGTCAATAAATTCGATTTCGGTTCTCCTTATCATTCGGTCAAAAACATAAAGTCAAGAAAAATCTCATTTGAACAGTTGATAACAAGTTCTAATGGCATACAATGATAATAGAGTACCAAAATGCAGATGACTGCGCATTAAAAATGGCCTTATAACTGACTTCATTTTTTCACTGAAGCCTGATGGAGACCAAGGAAAAAATTTTTGACGACAATAAACGTTGTTCGAATAATTTGAAAAACACACGAATCAACTCATTGTTTGATGCTTATTTGAACTATGTTATTTGAATCCATTAGAAAGCAATGAATCTTACAAAGACGCGCAATATATCAGCCAAATAGTGGCTAATTTTACCTATCAGAACAAAAGAGTCGTAACTCCAAACATCTGATCATGCTTTTCCTGAACTAATAATTGATGATGCATTCATTTTTATTTTCTCAGATATAAGATGCTTAGAATTGACTAATGGTCGTAAGTCCATCAATGAAGATTTATTGAAATAGTCTTGGCCGAAAGAAAGATCATTATTTAATTTTTTTTTTTGGTAAGCACTAGAATGTAGAACAAGTCATGCCCTATTGATCATACAAGAAGTAAACTCATTGACTTGTGACTAGCGGCATAATCTGAATACCGTGGGTGATAGATTAGGGGCCTACTATCATGGAGGAAATCCAAGCAATGTAAGGTTAACGATAGTAACTATTATGTCTTTCTTTCTTCTGGTGATAAGGCGTCGCTTGGTTCAACCGAATCTTGATCATGCCACTACTTATGACTCCAACTCAAAAGAAGTATCTGTCTTTTTAACTCATAATTCGAAGAAATCATACGATGATCTAAGACTTCACGATCACACTTATACATGGTTAGATTGGCAAACTCAAATGCTAGAGAATCTAATAGTTTCTATGTTTCTTTTTGAGATCAAATTAAGTGGATCAAAAGTGGTTGTTATGCAGTTTCGTTCTTCAAAAATAACTTTAGAAAAAATTGAATCGAACTTACAAATGATTGCATTCATCTGTAATTAAACCAAAAGGGTATTTAATTGCATTAGCTTTAATTATTTTTCCATAATGTAAACGAAAATCACGTGATATTTTTAATTCATATATTAAATGTTCTTCTTTACTAGCATAATAAATCGAGCCAGATGATGATAAAGCAATACTGCCTTCATTTAATGTTTCATTCATAATCATTGGTTGACCAAATAATGAACCTGTAAGTGTATCAAATGCTGTGTAAATAACGCCAACACGTGTTGATATAAATAGAAGAGATTTTTTAGTTCCAGCATGATCACGTTTTATTGTAAAACCATTAATAACTAGATCTGGTTGATCATATTGAAATGTTATTGTTTCAATACATAGATTATTTTCAAAAGCTAATTTAGATCTGTTAAAAAGTACTTGACATACACGTAAAGAGATTAAATTTGTTTTCGAATTTGTTTCATATATAAAAAATAATTCATGATGAGAATCGGATAATAATGATGCACATGATGTTGCAATAACAACATCTTTACTAGTTAAATTAACAATATGTTCAATTGTACGACCACTATAAACATGTATTTGATGTTTTGGTTCAATAAATATTAATAAATCATCAATAGATGAATAAGCAAGAAAATTTTGAGCATAAATACGTTTTACATATGATATATTTGATGATATTTGAGATGTTTGGTATTTACCAAAAGAAAGCATTGATTGAAGCTAATGAATAATAAAATAATTGAAACTAATGAATACTTTTGAAAATGAAAGACATAATTTATTTTAGGATATAATTCATTGAAAACAAAAGACTTCTATGAAGATTAATATTCGAGTAGTAATGTGTATAATTTTTAAACACAAATATCATTCCTTTTTCAATCTATTAAATGAGTCTGCAAAAAATTTGAAAACTTTGACTTAGAACCAGAATTTTGTATTCTTTCCAAATAGTAGTTAGAAATTTTTGTAGGACTTCTAGTCTAGAGTTACGAACTGACCTTTTCAGAGCCTCTTAAGTTAAATTTGGACGAGCTTTAAAGAGTCGAAACTTCCTCAAAGTAGAATCGAAAATTATCTCGGATTTAGCAAATGAAAAAACAAATATTTCTCTATAAAATGGTATATTAATGATTTGTTTGCTTTAAATCATTTGCTAACAGCACGTGTTTTGCTAATGGATACTGTATCAATTTGAACAGTTATCTATAATCCAATGAAGTGACTAAAGAACAAAGGATTGTTCAATAACAGTTTACATGTTGAATGTAAAACACAAATCTAATTCATCCTTTTATATTCAAAATTTTCTCCTCTTCGACATCATTTCTAAAAGTCGAGAATGTAATGATCCGTGTTAGAGAGAAAAATATTGACGAATGTGTTGAAATTTTCTTTTCCGTACATCGATGTGTCTTTGAGTATTATCAATAATATTGACGAGAACAAAATTCTAAATACAAAAGATTAAATAGAATTATTCTTTCAAAAATGTTCACACCGAGTTCTATTCATAACTCCTAAAGCAAAAATGCTACAACAATGTTGAAGTCACATTTGAAAAGAACGCAAAAGTTTGATTCTAAGTCACAGTTTCCAAATTTCTGCAAGCTGCTTTTAAGAAATTGAAAAATGAATGAACATTTTGCCAAATTATTTTCCAATTACTCATAATTATATTTAAGAGAACATTTTTTAAATATATTGATCAATTTTCTTTTGTTTTGTTTTAATCGGAAAATAAACAGAATATTTCATGTCAATTTCTCTTCAATTAAAAAAACACACACATATATTATATTTAAAAAATAAATAAATAACAAAATTATAGTTTAGATTTATATAAAAAGTATTTCATCAAACGAAAATTTATTCAGATCAACCAGTCATAGAAAATGTAGTCTTGTCTTATTTTTCAAATAATAAAATTCTTCGTGAACTCAAGCATGTCATGAAATAGTTTGTAAATCATACCCAGAGCATTTATTTCATAATTATACTACATATAGACCAATCAGAAAAAGAGAACACAATATTTTTGATGGATTATGCTTGTTCGAGCTCATTTAAAAGTTTGCATTGAAAGAAAAAATAAATTTCTCTTTAATGTTATCAATGTGATTAATAACGGGTTATAAAGACCTAGATACTGCATGATTTTCAAAAACAAAGAAGAAACATGAAATACTTATTATTTTATACTTCTGATTGGTAACCGAACATCTGACATACTAAAAGAGACTCTAAGGATTTACTAATTGAAATAAAATTCTGTTAGATACATTTAATTCTCGATAATGCGAAACATATAAATATAAAATTTATTTCATTAAGAAATCTTTGAAAAACAAATTGAGATTTTCTTTAATGCTAAACTTAAAGTTTATTTCATCATATAGTAAAAAAAGTAATTCAAAATTCACGTGCAGTATTCTTTATTGAATTGAAATTTTCTTCGAAATGTATATTTTTGAACTATACATTCAAAGCTATAATTTATGTTTTGTTTTCGTTTTTGTGTTCATTATGTTAACCATCTAAATAGTGTAATTGATTTCTGATATTCATTGTCTCGAGAATAGATTTTCACATGCTGCTGTTATAGAATAGAATTTTTTTTTGCGATAAATCTTCTAATTATTCCTTAAATAAAATTATTACGTAAGATTTTACTCATTTATCAGATTTTTAATGCAAGTGTTAAGAAAAAAAAAGAGACGT